ATTTTAAAAGTTCTAAACAACAGATATTAAAAAAAAAAAAATAAGAGAAAGCCAGTCAAGCTTCTGGCTGCAATACGAACAAATCTTTTTCAAATAGTACACAGCTGTTTTCTCTCCAGATTCTGAAACATATTTGCCAGGGCTGTCTGCTTTAGCACTCTTCCCCTTCATTTTCCTGAACACGTTTCGCTTGCACTATCTTGTGTGGACAAGACACAAGATCCATCTGTTCTAATTAAAATATAGGTCTTCCAAGAAAAACAGCTGTCAATCACAAGATGAACAGGACTATGGCAGCAAGCATACTAAACTGTTGGGGGAGAGGGGGAAACCAAACCCCACTTCATTCACATCCTTCAGCTGTGTATTCTCTCCACTCTTCTAAAATAACTGGGCATTTGCAAACAATAAAGCCAGTATCTCCATTTAAAAGATGCTTAATATTGCTTTCATATTAAAAATCTGTCGAGAATAAATGCAGGATCTCAGTTATTAGACCTATAATTTTATTTTAAATCACAGAAAGTCTGTATATAGACACAGTGAAAATGCCATCCTTCCAGTCATAGAAGCCTTTAGGACCTGAAAAGTATAGCTGTTCAGAAACTGAGAGGGCCCATCAGAGAAAAGAAACAACACAATGCCAAATGTTGTTTGCACTATATAACTTCAGCAGCAAAATTTATATTATGTCTGGTAAATGTAAACAGCTAATTAATGTCAGTCTCACTTTGGTGCTTGTCTGAAACAGACACCAGAACAGTCAGCTCATGGTTTGACAGGAGAAAGAGATGGCAAAAAGGAAAACAGTTATGCCTAAAACCAGATACAGTGAATGTCAGATATGAAAACAAACAAACCAATCAGGAAGTTTGAAAAACATCTGGAGTAAAAACCAAGCTCTTGCCAACCAGCATAGCCAGCACTGAAGCTATGCTCTAGTTACATCCCCTTTTACAAGTAGATACAAATGTCTTTTTGCATCTGCTTGAAATCCCAGGAAAGATCCCTGGAAAACAAAACAAAACAAAAAAAAAACAAACCACAAGAGGACGGAGGAAAATATTCCTGAGTTGAGCTTGGCATGGCGTTTTCCTGGTTGCCTGGGACAAGCTGGAGTTTGCTTCACCTAAAACCGACTGTTTGCCAACACAATGTAGGATACATCGAATAAACAGAATAAGCTGAAGTGGCTTAAATTTCTGTTCCCCTGACCTTCCCTGACAGAGAAAGGTCACAAAAGCACCACGGAGCATCTGAAGACCACAATGCCAGTCTCTCTCAAACTAGATGCTCTGGTACAGCATCCACTGGATTCTTTTCCTTACCCCAGTAGCCAGGACCTTACATCAGCCTCCCACTGCTGTCAGCTTCTTAACAGTCAAATCACCATTCTAACTGTTTAGCCTAACAAAATATACATATTCAAATGATCAGGCTATCTGTTAGATCAAGAAACCGTCCTCCTTGGCAAAAAAAAGAAAATTGGTTTGGCATTGAAATATCAAACAAGACACTTATTCCAAACAGCAAAAAGTGAAATAAATGTGTCACTCACCTGTGAGCCAATCACAGAGGCTAACAAAACAGCTCTTTTGGATGGAAACAACCAACAAAACAGTCTATGTTAATTATTGTAAACTATACGTCCCCATTTAAAGTCCCAAAATTGCATAAACTGAAGACCAAGTACTATATAAACATACACCTGAAATGTCATTTTAAAATCTCACTGTTAATTTCATTAGTTTCTAGATCAATTTTACCATGGTATCTCTACTAGAATCAACACTAACAGAGGCAAATAAAGCCCACAACTTGTTTTTATAATGTAAGTATTGGAAGAACTTTGCTACAAATCCGACACTAAAGTTTGTATATAACTAGGTCAATGACCCCTAAAAACCCAAAACAGATTCCAGGAATGACCTGAAAAAAATAAAGGCAATTCATTTTACAAATCTCTAGACAAAGGTTTTGCTGTTTTTTTAAAATTAATTCTAAAACTCATGCCCACTTTCACAGTGCAGGCATTTCATTTTTGTGATAGCACCTATGTGCCCTTAGCATACAAAAGGCTGTAACTAACCAAACTTTTCTTCCCCTTCCCTCCTTTTGTTAAAATGTATTTGGTTGAGGCACTTCAATGCCACCTTGTTATCCCTCTCATGTATAGATCATAAAGCATCTGTATAAAGTACATCAGAAGGTTGGGTATTACATTATTATTGAATAAATATTCTTTATGTAGTATTCCCAGCATGGACTTTTTTTTTTTTTTTTACTCTTCAGTAATACAGTTCTAAAAATGGAACTTGAAATACTGAATAGAGGAAAAAATAGAACATCTATCTGAGAATGGCAAAAAAACCCTGAAGTAGTGATGAAAAGTTGGCAGCCTGAGGGTGTCCTCTGAGTTCTATCACCAGCAAATAAACTCCTCAGTTTTCTTAAGAGAAATATTTTGTAATTAGTACCAAAATCCATCTAGAAAGAGGAAAAATTAAAACACTTCAATTGCTCAGAACACAAAGATGGTAGGAAATGAATCCCAAAACAACAGAGAAGCAGCAGAGGGGACATAGGAAACAGAAAACATTCAAAGCTAAATGAATGATTATAAGCAAGTTTCTAGTTCTACATACCCTAGAAAAGAATAAATTAACTTGACAAACAGAAGTAGAAATAAATGAGAACTGAAGAAAGACAAGCACAAAACAATAAAAGGGTAGAGAGGAGATACAGAAGACAGGTCAGAAAAAAATAAATATCAAAAACTACTTTAAATAGCATTTTTCTTCTCCTTGCTGAATACGTTAAAAGATCATTTAAGAAAAGCAACAGCCAACTGGAAGGGGAGAAAAAAAAAGCATTAATCAATTAACAGTTGCAGAAATCTTAACTGGCAGCATTTGTTTCCTACAAAGAAAAATGAAGGTGCAAATTCAAAATTGTTTGTGAGTATCATTCAAAGAAGGAAAAGACTGCATATGCCAGTAGGCCTCAAAACAACTGTGTGAGTAAACTTAAAGACCACATAGCACTTCACCAAAAATATCTCAAGAAACAAGATGGTTTCAAGGCACATTTCAAAAAAACATGTAAGCAAGCTACCAGCAGCAAAACTATCAACTGTAAGGCTATATTTGAGAAATCTCCAGAAATCTAGTCTACAATAGACTAACTTCAAATGGATAATAAAATTTTTTCATTATTTTAAGTCTAACTGCATAAAATAATCATCTACAGAATGACCATGTCAGTAAAGACAATTATTCCTTCCAACAACCCTGACTGAAAACAAAACAAAAAAAACAAGATACAGCTTGCTAGACATTTTGCTATATATTCTCCTGGAGTCTACAAAGGACTTTGTTTTGGCATGCTAAGAAATACAATACTAATTGAAGGGATTTTATGAATATACTGAATGGATATTAATACTGATGGGTACACTGCTGAAGTCAAATGCATGTCAGTATTGTCTTAACTCTCAGTATCTCTTGTCCACACTTCTGAAAAGTTAACCAGGGCAAAGTTGTTTAAAAGGATGATCACTTAAAAGCCACTTCAATGGATTTTATAATGAAAAAAGTGCTTTATTAGTTTTGCATAGAAAAATGCCACACCTCTGCCTTCCACTTTCTGTTGCAAAAGATATTAAAAAAAAAAAAAAAAAAAAAAAAAGCAACACCCCACCCCACCCCCCCCCCAAAAAAAAAAATCTTGCTTGTATGATTTCTAATGTGAAGGAGATTAAATGTCTTTACATAAAGTGATGGACTCCTGTCAGCTATAAAAATAGCAAGTACCTAATATAGCTTACCGGTGCACAGTCTGTCCCACCCAATTCAAGTATTTTACATTTGTTTTATAAAGTGGCTGATATTAAGTCAATGAATCTATCTGACTTATACTGGTAGAACAGAATGACAGCTGGTTGCCTTATAACCAGTTTGACGCTGTAGCTGGCTTTGAGCAAACCTATTCCATGCTTCAGCAGCGTGCAAGCTTTAAATGTACAGCTCATATGTTTTAAGTCATATATGAAATCCTTGACTGCAGGGTAGTTGGTATTACTGTCTTAAGTAGGCATGCCACTGTTAAGTATCACACATCCAACAAACGCTGTTAAGCTCACAGAAGCAAGAAGAGAGCCCCATTAACTTCAAGTTTTAGTTGTGTTTAACGTTTCGTTTTCAATTCCCTTATGAGTGCTGCAGTTCTGGTCACACATCTGCTGTTGCCAAAAGTTTTGCTGAAGAACGGCACCTCATTTGATTAGATCTGAAAGGGCCTGGAGCTATCTTCGAGCCCAGCAGCAGCGTTATCGGGCTGAGACCTGTTACAGCCAACAATGGCTGGCTTCGCCCTTCACCTCCACTCCCCATCATCAGCGAGGACACAGAGGTCTCAAAGGCGGAAGACCTCGCAGTAAGGGAAAACAACCCGTGTCTGCAAGACGCCGTTCCGCTACCACATGCTTTTTACTCAGCCCCTACTTCCACGGCGGCTGTCAGAGAAGGGAAGCCACCGGCTCGCGATGGCGGCCGCGCTGAAGCCCAGGCCCGGCGCCGCCACAGCCTCGGTGCCGGGGAACAGACGCGGGGCCCGGGAGATGGAGGGGAGGAGGGGGAACAGGCCGTACGGGCAGCCCTCCAGAGCTCCTCGGCCGTTCAAACCGCTACCGAGCGGCGCGAAGGGGAGGGAGGGCGGTGGAAGAGGCGCTCCCCTTGCAAACGGTGGGGGAGACGGAGGAGGCCGGGCAACGAACGGGGTCGGGGGGGGGGAACGTGGAGAGCAACCGAGGGCGGGACGCCCGCCCCGGCTGCCCGCGTCCCCCCCGTGCCCTTGGCGGAGGCGACCGCGGGTCAGCAGCACCGGAGGCGCGATGGACGCCTCGACTTTGCCCTCAGGGCGGTGAAGGCCCGCGTGGCCCGCTCCCGGCTCCCCAAACACACACCCACCCGCCTGCCGCGCCTCGCCTCGCCTCGCCTCACCTGCGTGCCCACCACCACGATCTGCGGCAGCTGGATGATGTCGGCCCCCACCGTGTTGAACACATCCTGCAGCTTGTTAATGACGGGGATCAGCGCCTCCATAGCGGCGGGGGGGGGGGGGGAGGGGGAAGCCCGGGGAAGGCGCGGGCGATGAATGGGCGCGACGGGCAGCGGGCTCCCGTCAGCCGCCCCCTCCGCCTGCCGCCATTGGCGCCGGCCCCCGCGCACGGCGCCGCTCCCCGGCAGGCTGTGCGCGCCGCGCCGCCGCCGGGCATCATGGGAGTTGTAGTGCAGGGAGGCGGCGGCGGTGGCGGCGGCCGCTCCGCCGGGGGACGCGGGGCCTGCTGCCCGGCCGGCGCCTCAGGAGCCGGGAGGGCAGGCGGCGTAGGCGCCGTGGCGTTGTATGACGAGCCGGGTTTGGTGCGATAAAGCTGACCCTCTCCGGGGATCGGCAGCAGCGGGGCCGCGGGCAGCCCGTGTCGGGGGAGGCGGGCCTCACCGCCCGCCGGGGCGGCTGCCGGAGCTGCGTTTCGGCGAGCAGCGTGGAGCGGGCACCGTTATTCTCGGAGCCGCAGTGTTCTGGAAAACCCTGGAAAAGCGGGAAGCGTTCTGAAGACGTTTCTAGCTTAACGTGGGCTCCCCTTCCCCCGGCTTCGCCGCCGCCTGCCCAGGTGTGGAGGCGCGGCTGCCGGAACAGAGCGGGGAAAGGTGCTGCACGGCAAAAGGCTAGCCCTGGTCAGCGTCTGGTGTCACAAAGCCAACAGCGGGAAAATAAATCTGGTGGAGGGCGGGGAGGGAGCGTTAGGGAGGTCTCTTCAGGGAGCGAAAAGGACGGGCGAAGATCTGGGCCTACAAACTGTTCAGCGAAGAGAAGGGTCTCTCCTCTCTGCTCACATATTGAGAATTACGATGGACACATTTAAACCAGCTCTGTTGGTTCCGTTTGCCTTTCTGGGGTTACTTTCTGATGGCTAATCTCTGCATCCAAAATTTTATAACTCGGATGCATAATAGGTTTGGTTGAGGTATCTGGCAGGGCTCAGGAGGTGGGAAACTGCGTGAGATCTAATACTCAGCTGCATTATACAACAAGAATGAAACCAGAGGATAACTTGTAATGTGAGATCACAACAAATAAGCTGTCTGATCGTTAAATATCTTTCTCTTGAGTGCATTTTTTCAAAGATAAATTATGAATTTGCTATCACTGAGTTGAATTCTGGCTTTGTCCTTTCTTGTAAGCCAACAGTAAAAGTGCTTCTGAAAGTTTCAAATTCTGGCTGGCATTAGAATTTGTGTTCTGATTCTATACAAATTAGTCTTTTCCAGTCTTTGTGTCTTGAAACCCTCAAATGTTGAAGGAAAGGATATATAGAGGAAATATATGCTTATCTGTATATCTTTACAACAAAGTTTCTCGCTCTTACCCAGGAAATTTCACACTGCTTGTCAGAGTGTTAATATTTTGTGATAAAAGCATAAAGAAGGCTAAACACATTGAAACACTCAAGAATTAGTTTATTCAGCCCAGAGGGAAACAGTTAATGCATGTAAAATTTTGTGAAGAAGGTCCTGAATGACCTGTTGGTTCTTGTCATAGCCATACAGGCTTGATTAGCCAGCGGTTTCACCCATTAGCTTTCAGTGTGCCGCAGCCCATAGCTCTCAGAGATCATTAATACCAGGATGACATTTGGCATCTGCCTCTCCAGCTTCCAGGACAACAGCAAACGTTCCCTGGGTTGTACACCTGACACAGCAAATTCTCTTTCTAAAGGATTTGCCACTCCCTGTCGAGCATGGAGCCTCGTCTTCTTCCTTCAGTCCCTGGAAGGAAAAGAAGAGAAAAAAATAAAAGCACCCCAGTTGCACAGGAAGTTGCTGGCACCTAAAGTAGATAGATAACACCAGCTTATTTATGTGAAACTCTTCCTGCTGCTTTCGTTTTGCCATATGACCTCATGGGCACTGCTGTGAAATGGAGCAAGTGCAACCTGTTTTATATTTTAATTTAGACCAGAAGTGGGACATTTCAGAAATAATGTAGAACTGGAAAAGGGTCAGAGAGGGACAAGGATGAAGAAAGGTGTGGAACAGCTTCCAACATCAAGACAACTAAGCTAGGAGCATTCACCCTACAAAAGAAATGGGGGGGGTGGTAGGGAGGAATAGAGGTCTGCATAGTCATTAGCAGCCTGGAGTGGGTGGAAGAGTGTCAGTTTTATTTACTATCCCTTCCAGTGCAAGTATTTTGGGAGCATCTAATGAATCTAGGAGCCAGGTCAGAACAAAACAAAGACAGTAGCCTCTCACAGGTGCGTTGGTGACTTGTTAATCTCCTTGCCACAGGATGTTGTAGACAGTAAAAGTGTAAATGGATTCAGGTGGTGTTTGGACAAGTTTAAGGAAGAGAAATGTATTGCATGTAAATAAATAGCTATGTAGGAATCAGATCTAGCTCTGGAAGTTTCTGGGCTGGCAGTGGTTGGAAGCTCATGCAGAAGCACTGTGTGTGCTTGCCCTTTAGTCTGTCCCAGTATGGCTCTTCGTAGAATATTCTCAGTATAATATTTCAAGAAGCACACAAGAAATATCAGTTGCTGAGTTGAGTTGAGATAACCAAACGTGCCCAGCAGAGGTGTTGAAAGGCCTGTTAAGGGCAGGATACCCAAATGGAGAAGCACGGCACAGATGGAGGAAATGAATTGATAAAAGAAAGCAAGAAGAAAGCACTAACGATATAAGACCAAGAAACATCAGAATGCAAAGTTGAACGTATTGTACATTTCTGGCTAAAAAGTAAGAGCTGGAAATGCCTCTGCTCTGAAGTGTCATGTCCTGCACCAACTTACAAAATCCAGCACTTGCCTCAGCCCAGTTGAGGACTGTGCCAAAGCAATAAACATTTTAACAAGCAATGGTCATCTGTAGCTTTAACTCTAACTTTCCATGGCCGACTTATATTGTACTGAGCAAGAAACTCAATGATCTGATGAAAGACAGTAGTAGTCATACTGGTTGTTTACTAAAAGTTAATTGACATGAGGAAACAGGAACTGCCACACTGAATCTGACCTGATATCAATCTGCCTCAGAATCTCATCTCTAAGACTGTCCAACATCAGCCCTCTGGGGAAAATGTAAAAATGCAGTAATAAGATCTTCTGATTCCAAAACTGTATATTAAATAATTTTGATATTGCTGCAAGATCTGAAGTAGACAGTTCAATATTTCTTCAGTTTTATGTTACTGGAAACTAAATTACTTTATTTACCACATAATAGGTTTTTTTATCCCATCACGCTAAATTCTTGGCTCCAATGACATCCTGTGACAGTAAATCTCATGATCTAATTATGCACTGTGCAAAAAATCAATTTGGTGTCAGTTTTAAATTTCTCATCTTCTAATTTCATTATAAGCCTCCTTGGGTTTATGTTGGAAGTCAGGAGAACAAAATTTCCAGTCTTTCTTCTCCATGATGTGAATTAATTTATAGTTTTCCATCATCATTTCCTTCCATTTTTGCTCAGACAGCTGGAGTCTCTTTATATGGGCATACTGACAGTAGTGGACGAGTCATTTGCCATTTAATGAATTTGTGCCAGACAAGGAGACCACAAACTAGCACCTCAGTAAAGCACATTTCCTTGCCATCATATTTGTTTAGAGAGAGAAATATTTGATTGCCATACTGAAATGTATTAAGTATGTAAGACAGCATTTGCACTGAATACATACTTTGTTGTGCACAAATGCTATTAGCGAAATACTTCTGTGAATTATTCCTTGGTAACGTTACCTTTTGGAACCATGCAATGCAGCGATTACATGGGCCTTGCAGAGCCTGATTTTTATGTGGAGCCAAATCGAACTGCGTTTTTGTATTCTCCAGAGCAACATCATCACAGGATGCTTCCTCATAGCACTTCATACCAGGCATCTGCACAGCAAACGCCATCAGAAGCTGAGATAAATAAATTCCTGAAATCCCCTGATGGAATGACCCTTCATTGGGGTGTTCTACGTGGATTTCCCAAGCTGATGGATTCTAAACCCTGCTCTTTTTTTCCAGAAGAAACAGACATCAGATGTTTAAAATCCATAGTCCAGGGATTCTGCTGAACTGGCAAATCAAGCTCACCTCCACGCTTCAGCTGGCTGTAAGAAGGTCACAGCGCTGATAGGAATCCCCACGTTACGTGTTGCCTGTGCTAAGACCCAGTCTCTGACAAAACAAAATAATCCTGGGGCAGGGATGCAACTCTGCTGAGCAGTGTGATGGACTAGACACCTGAGAGTTCCTGGCTCTATTCTCGGGGAAGTTATTATCTAAATTCATTGAATATTTGAGGTGTCACGCAACTTCTCGTAAAACATGCTTGCAGAACTGAAAGCAGGTTTCGAGTTGAGGAAGCGGCACAGCGTAGAGGGCAAGAGCCACAGGGGAAGCACAGCAGTCAGCGTTCATCAGTCGGTCACAAAGCCCGAGCACTCCGGTGTTGGTAAGACATCCGTGTTTTGGACAAGGCCAACAGAGCTAAAAGCCTTGACTGGAGATGAGAGTAATCTCTGCATCGTTCTGAACTGCTGTACAGCAGTGCTCCCTCCCCACCGCAAATGGGGTCAGGCTTCTTGGAACAACAAACACAATGGTAACAGTTGCTTCAGTGACTGATTTTCACCACGCCAGTGGTTTGCAGTCCAATTTTAAGGTGAAGACTTTTTTACTTTAAATGACCTGGTTTGGGGGAATAAAGGCAAAAACCTCCCACCTGCTGTCAAGAAAGTAACTTTTTATTGGAAAACAAAATGCACACTTAGTATTCAGCTGAGGCAATATAACTAGAAAGGAAAAGAAAAAAATCTTACCCCAACCAAAACTTGTTGGTATTCAGGAGGAACTGAGCTTGTACCTTCTACTTCTGAATCCAGTATTTTAAATAAGGATCTCCCTTGTGGTATTTTTAAGATAAAATAGTTTGCCAAGCATCTTTTATTTTTTTTATTTTTATATCTGTTTTCTTGTGCGTGCTGCTTTTCATATTGTGATTGGCACAATTTTAAGTTTAAATTGAAAATATAAAAATTGAGCATACGTGATTTAGAACATCACAGCCTGTGTGTGAGACAGATGGATACTTCAGGTGTACCTAAAGCTTTTTAGTTCGGGTCAGGGTTGCAGTTCAGGAGCGGATGCTTGATGTCTTACCCACCATGCGTGTTTATCATCACAGAGTTCTCTTGGGGCACCTGGCTGCGGGTGTTTTCATGTGAAACAGGGCTGCAAGATGCACTTCAGCCACTGAAGAGCATTCAGTTAATAGGACCAGCTTAGTGCTGGTCTGAAATCGAATTCCATAATACAACATAGGTAAGGGAGGGCTTTTGTAAATGCTGTATCCCAAAGCCTTGAGCGAAAAGATTTAGAAGCCAGGAAACGTGCAAGTAAGGCAGAACAGGCAAAGCAGGTAGTTCTACGTGGCTAGGCAATTGGTCTAAACAAGATTGTGGTTGAAATCTTACCCTCTTCCATCGCAGGGTCATTCCTTTAATTTCACACCGTGGGAAGGCTCCTCCGTTCAGTAGCAGAGTCCAAAACCCATTTCCCTGAGGCAGGGACCCTTACCTACAGTTTGGAAGAATGAATTGGGCGTACTATGTTAAATTACGTTCAAAAGAGAGCACAAACATCCAGCCTTACTTTAGAACACAAGCTCATAAAATCAGAGATACAAGTTCAGTGTCCAGTGGACCCAAGCGAGAGTTTGTTTCTGCGTGTTCCCTGTGCAAGAGTCCTGCAACTGCCTGGCTCTGACACGGGAGTAGGGAGGGGCAGAAGAGAACAGGGGGCCACAGGAGGCCAAAAAAAAGAGAGGGTAATCCTGGATTCTGCTCCCCAGACAATTCCTGTTTCTTGAACCATGGACTATTTTAATATTACAAATGCATAAACCAAATCTAGAAAACTCTGGAATTTACAAGTTAAGTAGGGTGGTATTCGGTAAAACTAACATGAAGAAGTTTTGGGATCTAGAAATCCATCTGCAGCCCACCAAGTCTTACCCTAGATACTTAGCTAAGGCTCTATTCCATAAGGGGGTCCTTCTGACAGCAGAGATTTCCTTCATTTAGCAAGGAAAAATATATTGAGATTTGATGGTTGAAATTCTTAATGAATTCTCTTGATAAGATTCTGATGGCTGAAGGCTACATGAGTACTGACTAGTGATAAGAATCAGTTAAAAAAACAAGCCCAAAACAACTACAGAGAGCGTAGCTAACAACTGGAAAACTTATCTGGGTACGTGAGAGATTTTTCATAACTTAAGGCTTTAAATCAGGGAAATTAATTGAAAAAATATGCTGTAACACAAAGAAATACAACAGTTTGAGATAGAGAGCAGGTAGCACATCCTACTCGGGACACCAGAGCATTACGTTTTTGAGATAGAAGCTAAGCAGCACAGGCACGGAGCAGACCTCAAGCAAAAAATCTCAGCTGGGTGTATCCTGATTTACCAACATGAGCCAGGTCTGGTGAGGTTTGATACTGGCATAGCTGCCGAGCACACGGGGCCAAGGAGGAGAGGGCGAGCGGCTCCGAGACAAAAGGGTCGTAGCCATAAGGCTCCCTCCGCGCCTCCGTTGGAGACGCCACGGGGCCCTCCCAGAGCGATTTCTTTAAAGCAAACAAGCTGCAAGTATTGTGCTTACCAAAGGCAGGCACGCCAGTTCTCCCGTGTCAGGAAGCTTATCCGGTGCCAAGAACAATTCTGTGGTAATGGGACAGAATTAGTCAGGCTCTTAGGGAGAGCCAGAGGAGCCAACGCCTACCACCTCACTTACCAACCCCACACTGGATGGGCTCCTGGACAACCTGCCACCAAGGAGAAAGATCAGTGCTTATTAAACCTGCTATTAAAAAGGAATTAAGTAGGAGCTGTGATTACCGACTTCCTGTAGTTTGAATTTTATAATTGTGTTTTCTTATTAAAGCACATTTTAGGATTGATTCTTGTTATTTTTGTCTCCCTGTAGAAGGCGTTTACATTGTGTTTAATGCGGACAATAATGGGTTTGGAACGGAGTTAATCACGGGGGAAAAAATAATCAGAAAAATTAGTGGAAAAAAATATGTAAATGGAGAGGGAAGCATTACTTTATATGGCTCACCAGTACTTATTTCAACTACTACTTTGTTTACTGTGTTTCCAAAGAGAAGAAAAAGTAGAAACTAAACAAAGTTGTACGCAACTCCTTCCAGACAGGAACTAACAAATAATACAGTACATTTTCCTCTCGATTTTGGGGGAAGTCTTTTCTGCAACATTGTGCCCACCTGCAGAAGGATACCAAGAAAAAATAAGATACAATCAAAACAGGTTTACTGCATACAGATGATGGAAATTGGAGGCAAAAACAAATGTTTCTGTCCGTTGAAGGACACTTAGAAAAGGAGTAGCTGCGATTCAAGTGGCACTTCCATAAACTGAATGTGTGCTTAGTTAGCCGATGAATTTAAAAAATTAAGAGTTGCCTGTGCTTAGGATCATGATCCAGCTAACGACCTGATCATTTTTGCTTCGCAGCACCACTTTAATTCAGTGCACAAGAGACCACGCTGAGCAGCTGCTCAACGTCTTGTTTCACCCTTCTGTTCAGAGCAGCGCTTGAGTCACAGCAAGGAAGACGTGGGGCTACACTGAACACGTCCCTCCCTTTCTGCATTTTTCTGTGGGGGTGGCAACGCAGAAGCCCATGAAGTACTCCCATAACGTCCTGGTCACACCAGAGAACATTGTGGTTCCCATTATAGAAGTCTAGATCTGAACTGTGAAGGATGGCAGAGACCACATCTTCTATCTTCCCAACCTAGGATATCATAGCATTATATACAGCCCTTTATATATTCCGAATTTATCTTCCATCTACTTAGCAATACTTGTGAGTAGCCAGTAATTCAGCAAATTAGATACCAGTGCTCCAAAACAGATGGGTCCTTACAGTTACACACACAATTGTAAAAACAGTTTAAAGATCTCATCAGCAAAGTAAACACCACGTGGCCAAAAAAAAAAAAAAGTCAGCCAGCAATACTTATTTAATGATGCTTTTATTTTACAGGATACAAATTCCTTTTCGAGTACTCAACAGGAATTAAAGTGCTTAATTTTTACAATTCTCCACCCACCTTATGACCAAATATACATATATTACAGAAAATATATACAATATCTGAAATTTTTTTACATTCATATATTTCTTGACCATAAAAATGACCACTTACATTTGCACAACTTACAATGGCATTTAAATTTCTCCTTTTTAATATTCTTCACTTTATTGCAAAACCAGAACAAATTTACACCTCTTCCAAATATTAGTTTGGTTTTTTGTCTTTTTTTTTTTTTTTTTTTTTTTAAATGTTTTCGCAATTACAACCTGAAATGTTTCCATAATGAAGGGGAATTAACAGGTATAGCCTATAATTCTGATGTCAAACATTACAGCTGATCCAGCTCCCACTAAAATGAATGTATTAATCTGCCTTGAGGGCTGCGTAACAGAAAACACGCTAATAGAATAAAACACTTCTATTGCAAACTCTTCCCTATATGCAACAAATTTGGCTTCTTTCTTAAAAATACTAGGGCACATATATGCAAAAATGCTTTGACATAGTTCCCACTTTTCTGAATATTTTCACCATAAATAGTTAATGAATCTACAAGTATTAACTAGGAACTGAAGTAGGTTGGTGTTATGCAGTGGCTGAAAAATACGTTTTATTCAAAGAAATCTGCTTGAAGATATTAGAGAAAACCCACATTCTACATTCATTTGTGCTAGGAAATGGAAGGGCTAAAAGCAAAATGCCATAGTTGAGTCTGGGAAGAAATTTAATCGTGAGGTTTTAAAGGAAGCAGACTGAATGCCTTAGTGAATTTAGCATGTTTGCTGTTTGTTAGTTTTTAAATTAGGCTGAAATAGGAAACATGCCACAAAAGCAGATCTAATTCTGTCAATTTTTTTCTTCTGAAAACAGTACTCAACACAGTCAATATACATTATATCTTCAACGCAGCACAGTGTATTTTTTGATTGTAAAATACTGCTTGAAAACAGGTCATCTGAATAATAGTCTCAAATATATAAATACACATATATACATATACACACACATACGTAGGCATATGTGTATATATACACACACATATGCAATCATTAAGTTATGTTCTGTTAAAGGAAAAGGATTTAGGAAACAATCTGACTAGCAGATTAAAACTCCTACCCAAGGAACACACTTCACTACAGTCCCACGGGTCAGACCCAGCTAGGGCAGTTCCTCATACCAACAGGGCCACAGACTGGAGAAAAAAAATGTAACTCCATATATTTAATTTCAGTTTTCAAATAACAGTACATCACAGACTAAGAATGGTGCCCGTTTCCCCAATGGATTTATCTTAAGGATAGTAAATTCTGCCACAACATTTTTTTCTCTTCTCCAATCATGTATTTTTAGATATATATTTCCAGCTGTTCACATTCACCCCTACATCAATTATTTCCAACTGAAACCCATCTGAAGTTCAGTTGAGCACTGTGATTCCAGATGGGACATAGTAAACCAGCAGCTCTCAAACTGGTGAAATCTTGATTTTCCTCAGGTGTCTCTATATAATGTAAGGCAGATCCTACATTAATTTAAATAATTGAAGGTATAACAGCTCCAGCAGGTCTATGCTAGTTTACACCAGCTAAAGATCTCGAAAGATCCATTGCTTAGAATTATTGCTACATGGGATGTTTCTTTCTTTCCTGAAAGACTTTCCTTCAGTATAAGGAACCACTAGCCTCTCTTCATTTTATTTAATTTTGGTTTGAAATGAAAAGCTGACCAGTTTTTAGACTGGATATGTGGTGATGTAGGTTAAAAAACAAAAAAAAAAAAAAAGAAAAAAAAAAAAACAACAAAAACAACAAAAGCCAAAGAACCTGTCAAGTGTTTCCACATCTTTCCCACTTATTTTTATATATACTTTTTTTTTTGACTCCTGCCTCCACTTGGAACTCTTTAGAGCATACTTCTATAACCTCATCTAAAATTTACTCAGGTGGTAGTGTATTTATTATATTTTTAATCAGTGCCTTGGCTTCATCCATAATTTAAAAATACGAAGAATAAACATCCTCTTTTCTATGTAAGGGACTTAGAATCTTTGAGGATATTTAAAAAGCACTTTGAGATGGTTTTGCATAAAAAGTTGCCACCATATATTACATACATTTAAAGTGGTTTAATATTCTAGTCCGAGTAAAAGAGAATGTTTTGCATTCTCAATATCTATTTTGCACATAAAAATTAAATACATTTTGGAATAAACAAAACTACTCAGTGTAAATGGATTTGAAAGTATTCGATGCTGTAGATTTTGAGGCAGCTCTTCGACCAAGCAGGAGTACCTGATACCAGAGAGCAATTTTTAGAGGATCTGGAAGAATGGTGCAGACGTGCACTTGTCATGATACACTCTTTTTCCATAATAGGGGAAAAATATTAAGTCATTTGGAAAAAAAAAAAAAATGGATACATTTCAAACTTATTAATGATAAAATTAAGCCATTGTTCTGGTGGAATTGATAAAGCTGTACAAACTAACTTTTGATTTGCTTTAAATTGCACAGAAATCTGATCACTTTTAAAGTGAGAAACAAGCGTTTCTTGAACACAAGAATCGCAAAGCTTAAATAATTCAGCAGAGCCATTTACATACATTCATTTATTATGAATGAATGCTTGGTTATAGTTTATTCCTTACACACACAGCTTTATGTTAATCCACTTAATGCCTTTTTTTTTTTTCAATTTTTTTTTTTTTTAAATTAAAGAAAGAATTTAACAGTTGAAATGGGAACAGCCTTTACCTTGTAGAACGATGGTTTTAATTTGAGTGCTTTGGCCATGATACTTAAGCTTCAGCAGTTAATACTTTGAATTTGTTCCTCTGTGGCCATAATTTAAAGAAAAAGTTTTGGAAGCTGTAAGGGGGGTCTGTCTGGGGAGAATGGAGTAAAACAGAGTGGGTAAATCTAGAAGCAACTTCTCCGTCTTCTGATCTCCTTTAATATTGGTGGTACATACATTTCCTACAAAATACACGCAGAAGTATGCATTTGAGTGCCCAGACATTCTGACTCAGGAGAGAACAATTCTAACCAAACAACTGATTGAGAGAACAAGAAATAGGTTTCACTAGGGTAAATAAAATATCCCACACTACATACCTATACGTCTGGGAGATGCTGAAATCATTCAGGCAGCTTCGAATACTCAATACCACTGTAACAGTAAGGCAGCCCAGAAATTGCTGCTTCTAATAATTTCCCTAATAATTTAGCTGGAATATAACTTTCTGCTTGGCTCAGAATTAAGTTTGCAGGAGCCTAGAAAACAGAGTGTACTACATGATGACAGTCACACCGTCATATCATTTGAAGAACAGCTCAGTCTGTCTCATCCAGGGACTCCATTAAGGCAACTTCTCCCCTTACACACAACAACTTGAATGTGGGAAACAATATTTTTTATACATCAGTATGTGGTAAGACAACCCTCCAGATCCCACAATTGCACTTGAGACTCTTTTGGAAGATACCCATTTTCAGGAGATGACCGTGAAAGAAAGTTAGCCATGGAGAGTTCCTGCTTACCTGACCGTCCCCCCGTCCCTCACCAAGGTACACCTAACGTGACACTTAGGGAGACCCGGGTGAAGATGTGATGCTACTCACCAACGTTAATCAAAAGGGGCTTGAGCTGCCCATAAATAAATACAGCTGACAGTAGAAATAACTTAAAAGTTTCTTAGAGAGTTACAGAAAAGCTTGCACATCAGGTAAAAGTAATACTAGAGTTACATGCTGAATAACCCGGACACACGGAGCACCCAAGGAATAATTCAGAACTGGCATCCGTAAAGTTAGCTGTAGAGTTAGTACTCTGCAATGCCACGTCCTGGTTAATTAGCAACGCCAGCTTAAAGCTTTGAAGTCTAAAGGCCATGGTAGATTTTGGATTTGTGTGGGAGAGCACAAAATCCAGCCCACTAACATTAAGTTGCATGATATTCTTCTTACTGAAGAATGATAGACACTGTGTACTCAAGTATGCTTGACACTAAAAACAGAGGTTACTTTAACAAGTTAAATGCTAAATAATTTTTTTTTTTTTTTTTCCCCCTGTAGTGTCACAAAAAGATTAAAGTGGGAGTGGGATTTCAGGGAATACATTGTCTGAAAATCTTATAAAAAAGTGACCATTTAAATCTGCCCTCATGTTACTAACAAAACTGGACTTGAACCTGAGCTCTTCAGCTTGACATGATTTAAAATACAGATTGCAATTATATTAACAAGTAAGACTCCTGAATGTTCTTATGACAAGTTGATTGTAGAAGTTACATATTTTCCTTCCTTCGAGGGGTCAGAAAAGATGTCAGTGATTTTAATTGTCTGCTTGATAGTCAATCACTACATCTGAATTTGTCATATTTTATCTCAAGGATGTTACAGTAAAAATTTTAGGGAGGTGATTTGCCTCTATGTATGAAAACCCTAATAAGAATGGACGTTCACAAGGGACTTAATACTGTAAAGCAAACAAGTCCTTATTCCCAAAACCAGAATGCAAATAATGTCAGTTAATGCAGCTTGAGGTTTGCAGGCTCAGACCTCATACTAGACGCGTATAAAGCAGGCCCCACTTTACAACAATAATCCTTGAAGATTGTTGTCATAAATAACTATTACAATATCTAATCTTCTGCAAAAATTAAACGACTGAAGTTCAAAATGTTCTGTTCCAATAACCATAATAGCAAAAATACACGTTCCCAGAAGGTTACTAGAATTTGTTGCTTTTCCAAACCACGTACTGCATTTGAGTAACAAACTACTGCACTCTCAAAAGATAACAGTGATAGGACACTGAAGAAAAGCGACTACTCTTTTAAACACAACTGGAACTTATTTGTCCACTGCATGCCACTTACATTACTGCTATGTTTTTAATGCATAAAAATATCAAGATCATTAAATGTCAGCTATTAAATCACTGAACAGTATTTGTTAATTTAGGACTGTGTTTAATTTCAAATTGAAAACATGCTTTTTAAATAAATTATTCATTAATAGGAACCCAGTATCGTGAAATCAAAGCAAAAATCAAGTATTGTACATTTTTAATACTGTACATATATAATCCTTTCTCATAATTTAGGTATTCGTTTCTAGATTGAAAATCCTTAGATTGTTTCCTTGATAAATTGAAACTTCAAAAGCCAATATACCTGCGAAAGCAATTTGCATTACTTTAATTAAAAAGAGACAAGTGAATACAACATATGTACAGACCTGTGGAATTCAATTTATAAACTACATACATGAAACCAAACTGTCCCTGCATATTTAACTACAGATCTATTTTGGCAATGTGGAGGTATATCTTTTATCCTGTTGCAAGTCCTAACATGTAAGTAGGAAGCTTCAATATTTGCATTCTTAATGAAAGTAGCAAATGTTAACTGAAGAGCAACTGGATTTTCAAAAAAATTTGCATCACGACAAACAAGTAGTACAGTAAAGTTAGTAAGTATTTTTAATAGCATTCACATTTTTTAAAAAAGTCTCTGAAATGGACCTGTACATCACTTTTATTGACAGAACATAAATATAAGAAAAAGATCCCTAAAAAGACCAGATTTTTTCCCAAACATAAAGTGCTAAGATGTGTATGGTAGTAAGAAGTTTGGTGGGTTTTTTTTTTTTGTTTGTTTGTTTTTAATTTATTTTTTTCTTGATTGAGCAAAGAGAGGTTAACACAAAGGTTAACCACAAATTCAACCAAAATCTTTTAAAAATGCCATGTGTTCTTGAGCTTCAGCATTCAGATGTTTTAGAAGCTTCAGGTTGCTCTTCTGAGTTCACCTGTAGTTCATTTTGACATTCTGGTGTCTCACCTTTGACAGCTAAATGGATAACTTTTAGCCATTTCTGTTTCAGTTCCTCACTGTCCGCAGCAAAGCTGTGCACAGACTTCGACTGGGTCAGTTTGAAGCTGTGTGGGAGGTCAGCACTTCTCGGAGTGTCATCTACTGTATAGCCCAGAAGTGGAATTGTAGCCAGAGCTTTAACGTCCTAAGAAGAAGAAGTTCTTGATTAAGAACAACCAACTAATCTGCCCACTACCTCTTGTTTACTTTACAGGTTGGTGAAAACCCTTTCCTCCGCTCCCAAGCTGTTTGACTTCTCTTCCTCAGATGTCAGTGACAATAATTACTAAAATCTCGTCCATTTTCTCTGTACGTACCTGTGGAGCACCATACATGTACAGCACAAGAGCTTCGTGTTTAGGTATAACACACCATGCTTTCTGCCAGGGCTTTGATTTTTCCATGTACTGAAGAAAGCTACATATGACACTATTTCCAGAGACTTCTGCAGATTCAATCTAGGAGACAGTAAAAAGCAGAAAAAGGAAAGTAAACTTTTGTTAAATGAAGACTAAGAAAAGCAGAAATTCATCACCGTTCGTATCAAATCTTGGATAGCATCTGTAAAAGAGCTTGAGCAAATACTGAAGTAAGATCATGAAGGACTGGATTTATGGAGAATGTTTATATATTACATACCATTATGTGTACTCCCTTAACACGTGTAATCGGTTCCGTCTTTCATTACTGGTTGTGGATTACACACTTCTAGATCACTCTACATGTCATTTTGTGACCACAGCGAGCCTTTCTCTATCTCTTTGTATCTACAATGTCTGATTTCTAAAATAATATCACGTTAGGCATTGAAGTGCCAGTAACTGTCCGATATGACAGCTAGTCTGTTTTGGCAATCAAAATATTACAACAGGATCAGATGCAAACACATTTCTAAAAATAACATAAGAATGCAAGCACTAATCCTAGAGAAAAGGTTAGGGGAATTGCTTAAAATATGAAGACAGAGTGACATGCTACACAGGTTAAGTAGTGATCCCGAGAAGGTCAGAAAGAACACAAAATGACTGTGTGTTAAAATTTCCTTGCCTCAGTTTTTTTCTTCTACCAGTAGTGATGTTGTCTGAATGCTGCAACATGGTACCAACCACTCCGCTGTCCCAAGATCCAGCATGCAGACAGACATTTCTAGGAGACTCTATAGCTCCTTCAGCTACCTTTAAAAAAGCCACCATGCCAAGAAAGAGCAGTCTCTTGACTATAAGGTAAGCTAGTGGAGTTCTGCGCTCCTTACTCTTTCCCATTTAAGAGAGTATAGTTAAGCCAACAAGGATTAAGAACTGTATATGAAATTACAATCTGTATCTTATTTTTTCTTTCTTTTTCTGTTGGTATTTAGCTCAAGGCTCAGTCCTCCTCCACTACACCCCCAGATAAATATATGTCTTGACAAAGTTAGGATGGTATATCTCCAATGTATGTCAGGCATTGTAAAAGGGCTTATAAAGGGGGATTTAGGCAATGTGAAGGTTAATTACAATTCCAAGATGCCTATTTCTCTCCCTGCTCATAAGAGAAATATGGCTCTTTATTGTCTGACTGAGACCTTGAATTTTTAGATATCAAAAGTTAAGAGCAGCATGGTGACTTAAAGGTACTTTGTATACACTGATCAAAACAGTATCGTGCTACTCAGACTCTGAATAGCAAAATTCTCCCCCATTCCCTTCTCCTCCATCCCCAGTTCTTTCAGTTTGGTGTATGTTTTCGAGAATCATTGGAGCAGCAGTGTTTTTTGTTGCTATGACAGCTTAAGTGCAGAAGAAGAAAACTGAAGATTTATAAGGAAAGGTAGTATTTTATCACATTAGCTAGTGTAACTGGAAAGAAGCAAACAAGTTCTAAGGTACATAATTCCCCCTTTAAAAAAAAGTTGTAAGAAACAAAGCAGTATTGTGAAAGATGAATGGTAAAAACCAAAATCTATTGGATGGGATGAACTTGGTACACATACTTTTTGTTTCTCAAACAGAAAACAGCCCTGCAAGAATGCTACCATTTTACACGTCCTGATGAGCTGAAACTGTTTGCAACCGTGCACTTATAGTATTTCTAAATTATATACCTCCAAGATGCCTTTCTTCTTCTTTTCTTCACTGTCTGTACAACCAATTATAACATGATAGCAGTCCTTACAGACTTTGTTCAATTTATTGCCATCATACTCGAGATGTGCCTTGTAATCAGAACATTTCCAGCAAACCACCTTAGAAACAAAAAGATAACACATGAATAAAATGTAAGTATTTATAAAACTTTACGAAAACAGAATTAAAAATTAGTATTATTTTATCAACATAGTAACATATTGTTTAATTATACAGAAAGAGAAAGATAATGCCTTTATGACATGTCAACAATAACTTAACTGAAAATAATGATTTCCCAAATTTGTGCCACTGCTTATTAACTAGAAGTGCTTTTTACTATTTGCCTGGTGGAACTCCATATTTTGCTAAAAATCACATTAGGCTTTGAATTCTATCTGTAGGTCAAAGTTAGGAATAGAATCAGAATATAGCACAAGCCATCCTGCAGGAAGAAAATCCACCAGTTTCTTCAGATGCCAACCTGAAAAGGTACGCTTACCATTTTGTTTTCTGCGTAACCTCAGAAATGTACAACGGAGATGCACTTTTAATGATAAAAACATTTAGTAAAATCAGAAATGGCTTATTTTTTAACCTGCTAAAAATATTAAATTTACAGTTTTAGAACCTGTTGATAAGTACACATAATAAATAAGCCAATATTACATTGAGTTTTCACAGTATATTTTTTTTTTCTTTTCACTATATAAATATTTATATATATAAATAAAATAGAATAGAATGGAATGGTTTGTGCTGGAAGGGACCTTAAAGCCCCCCCAGTGCCCCCCCCTGCCCAGGGCAGGGCCCCCTTCCCCCAGCCCAGGGGGCTCCCAGCCCCGTCCAGCCTGGCCTTGAACCCTTCCAGGGAGGGGGCACCCACAGCTGCTCTGGGCACCCTGGGCCGGCGCCTCACCCCCCAAACAGGGAACAATTTCTTCCTTATATCTAACCTAAATCTGCCCTCTTTCAGTTTAAAACCATCACCCCTCATCCTGTCCCTGCACCCCCTGACCCAGAGTCCCCCCCCACCTCTCCTGTCCCCCCTTTAAGCCCTGGGAGGCCGCTCGAAGGGCTCCCCGGACCCTTCTCTTCTCCAGGCTGAACCCCCCCAGCTCTCTCAGCCCGGCCCCCCAGGGGAGCTGCTCCAGCCCCCCCAGCATCTCCGTGGCCTCCTCTGGCCCCGCTCGAGCAGCTCCGGGTCCTTCTGCTGTTGGGGGCCCCCGAGCTGGCCCCAGCACTGCAGGGGGGTCTCCCCAGAGCGGAGCAGAGGGGGACAATCCCCTCCCCGGCCCTGCTGTCCCCCCTGCTCTGGCTGCAGCCCAGGGCACGGGTGGGTTCTGGGCTGCCGGCCCACGGGGCTGCCTCACGGGCAGTTTTCCCCCCACCAACCCCCCCAGCCCCTCTCCTCGGGGCTGCTCTCCAGCCGCTCTTCCCCCAGCCTGGCTCCGCGCCGGGGACCGCCCCGACCCACGGGCAGCACCTCGCACTCGGCCTTGTTGAACTGCGTGAGGTTTTCCCGGGCCCCCCCCTCCAGCCTGCCCGGGCCCCTCTGGCCGGCAGCCCTGGCCTGCAGCAGGCCGGCCGCGCCCCACAGCTCCGTGCCGCCGGCGAACCTGCTGAGGGTGCGCTCCAACCCCGCTGTCCTTGTTGCCCACAAATATATATCAAATAAAATAAATACAATTGAAATGCAATAGAGACCTAAGAGAAGTTCTTTCATTAGAAATGTTGTTTTGTTTTGTTTTTTTTTTTTTTTTTCCACAGAAATGTTCTTTCAGGTTAAAAAGATGCCCTGCATAAAAAAAATACGAATGTAGTTATTTCAAGAAAGAAAGGTAGACAAATGGACTTGAACCACTCAAAACACCTGAACAAAATTTTATTGTGGACTAATACTGCTCTGCAGTACTAATCTAGATCACTACCTTCAACTGGTATCTCTAGAGAATACTAGTTAAGTATTCCCATTTAGTCACCGCTGAGAAGACACCATCACTGACCCAAATTAATTCGCATGAAGAAATGTTTCAAAATTTAAGTGCAAGGAGATCTGATAGAACCAAAATAAAGGGGATTAGTTAGGAGTCTAAACAAAAGGGGAGAATAAAAAGGAAGGGTACAATTTTAAGATTACCAGAGGAGTTTTAAGACAGAATGATCTGGAAAAAAAAAAAAAACAAAAAAAACAGATGACACCTCTATAATCAATAACTCAGGGATCTGGAAAAAGTTTCTAGTGTCTTGCAAAGCACAAAAGTAGTGCTGTGAATGCACTAAACCTTCATACCACATAAAAACGTTAGAAAGAAATCATACAAAATAACCTAAAAGATAAAAATTAAACCTGGGCTTGCACTACCACCTGCTGGAGAAAGGCAGAGCTGCTGGATTGCAGCAAAAGAAAGCACAGTATGTTTGCAAATATTATTAATGTCTGAAAACTCTCAAGTCGCCACCATCTCATAGTCATTTCAAGTGGCATACGTTACCTTAGCACCAAACATGGAAAACAGAAGCAATACTCTCTCCCCTTCCTAACCTTCTCTCCTTCCCTGATGCTTCACGCGTGTTCACGCAGTTACACACTGAAGCCAGCTGGGAACAGCTCCAAGTTAACCCACTGAAAAAGTGTGAACCGCAGGTCTTCATGGTCTTCTTGTGAAGAGGAGAAAGAAGGTAGCAGAATGGGAAGAGGAGGCAGCTAGTGCTGCCAGGGATAACGCTGGTTTATGCCTGTTTAACATGGTCTTGAAGCCTGAGGTCGGTGGAGGGCACTCAGGAGTTAGAGTGTAGTATGTCCAGGGGCTTGGGACATTTTACACAAATGTGCATCTGCCTGTGCTGTAAATTACTTTCAAATTTGCCATGACAGCTAAAGCAGACAGAGGATCCTTTGTTATATGCTACAGACGGCTTCTGCTTTCAGCCACAAGCACAGCAACAAACTGCAGCGTAACTAGCAGGTACCAGAAGTAGGTGCTTGGACCAGTTCCCAAGCCTGTTCACCAGCTGCAGCAGCTAGGGTTTTGCACTTACATGTCCACATGCTCGGCAGTGGTGCCTTCTCCTCGTCAGTGCATTAAAGGGCTCCTTGCATTTCATGCACATGGTTACTTCATTGTCTCGTATCCACCTGGGTGCTCTCTTCCCAAGCTCAGCATTCTGAAGGGAGACAGGGGTGGACGGGTGAATGAAAAAAGCGAGTATAAAAAGTTGCACAGTACTTTAAATAGAGAAAATAATTATTCTCTTCCTCTGTAAAGGAAATGGCAAAATACAGCTCAAGATACATTTTGAAATCTATACAAGAAATAACAAAGAACCCAGTTAAAAACCATTATGCATCACTGAAAGGGTACTCTGTTATGCATTTCAAGAAAAAAAAAAGTCTTGTTTATAAGATTTGGCATTATGAAGAAAAACAGCTACAAACAAGATGACTGCTTTGTAATTCCTCTGATACAATAATGATGCACTTGAAAAAGTTTCTGCCAAACTTTTTCCAGTTATTGAAGGACTAAATGGGTACTAAGAAGGTTACAGAGGAATAACAGCAACTTACAGAAACTTCAACAGGCATGTCTTCATATTCTTTAGCAATAGCATTTCTGAAAGTTTCATTCCTCTGCTGAAAAGCTTCTATAGTATTCTGAAGCGCCTAAGGAAACAATGGAGAAATTCCTCACACATGTAACATTTAAAATGGGCTCTCTGCATTCTGACCTGTTATTGATTAGCAGAGGGAACATACAGCCAGAAAATATGTTACTTTTTTGATTGCTTCAATTAAATAGTGCTTAGAAAATAAAGAATGTAGATGAATTTACCTTTATCCATTCTTCCTTATCTTGTTCAGAACTAAAAGAAATATTTGACACATTAGTCCAAAACTAGTTTAGGAAACATTATCTTGCTATCAACAACTTATTGCAAAAGCCAAGCTTCTGAAGTAATTCTCGGGAATTTAAATTTAAACAATATTAATTGTTAACTGTCCAACTTAAAAAAAAAAAAAAAAACACAAAACAAAAAACAAAAAAAAACCCAAAACAAACAAACAAACAAAAAAAAGTAGACTTCAGGCTTCACAAGTTTGCAACCACTAAACAGTAAATTCAAGTTGAAAGATAAATGTAAATGCATTTAAAAGTAATAATAGTATTTGCATTACTAGACTTTTTTCCTCCCTTTTTTGTTTTGTTTTTTTTTTTTTGAGAACAGGATAGAGAAGAAAAGAGGACAATGCAAAGTTTAGGTATAGATGATTTTTTTCTCCTCTCGTTTCATGCACTACTAAGTTCATATATTAACATACATTTCTCCTGTGTATATCTAAAATCTTCCTCCCTCCCCAGCAACAGTAATTTCCTTAATGCTTTTTTGTTGTGGCTGTTGTTTAAACTTGTCTACAGTGGCAAGATGACTATCCAATTAAACAAAAGGAAAAACGTGGTTTAATATTATAAACCAAACAGGAGCAATCTCCCTTTTATGCATTAGAGCAGATACAGGTGACTTAACACTAAGACATGACAAGACAGACAAGACAGAGATGAGGGAGAAAGCATATTCAACTCTGATCTTGTGCGACAGCTTTGTCTTTAAAATATATCAGCAGGACACTGACACTTTAATCTTTGGAAAAGCATCTTATATCACGAGTAATAGTACTATTAGAAAGCACTGGCTAGTGCTAGCAATGAACACAGTTTATTTGCAAGCTTGAAGTCAGAAAGATGAGAATTAACACTACAGTATATCTGTCTCTCTGAAAGTGGCCTCCTTGGGTAATGATGTGGGGGGAAAAAAAAAAATCACTGTAGCCATGCAATATCAGTAATGCAAAATTTTAGTTTTCTATGGATAGCTATGAAAAAGAGAGCTTTTACAATATCTCAGTAAAAACAACTCCTAATACGTCGGTTTGCAGTATTAGTACAACTTTTAAGCAAGTCGAATCCTAAGCAATTTCCCATCCCATCTACCATCTGCATACAAGGCAAAAGAAACCTGTCTAAACAGCCAAAATAATTCTCCCTACCTGATTACATTAAAAAACAAAAGCTGGGCTATTAAATGTTACACCAGATCAGCAACCTCTCAAAGAAATAATATACCAGCTGTTCAAAACATTGGAAAATTGAAAAACATTGAAAAATGGAAAGTGTACTCAAATAGTATTCTGAAAAATAAATAGAATCCTACTAGTAAAGAAAACCCCAAAGATAAACTAAACTTTATAACACTTAATACAAGCTCATGAATTAAGGACATTAAGGTATAGGGTACATATAATAGTCATACATTAATCACGATTATTCTAATGTAATTGAATAAGATTTCATTTGGTATTTATTCCTTCACAATTTTGCACAGACTTAGTGCGTTCTAAAAATGTTCATAAAACAAAACACGAAAAAGTGTTCTTCTTGCACTCAAAATAAACTAATGAATGCAATGAACTGTTAATTACTGATAAATTGGGAAAGTTGACAAAATAAACTTACTTTGTTGCTGCATTTTTCTCCCAATTAAAATGTACTTCATAAGCGGTACAGCAAGATGCCATCTCTCACCATTGAAATGGACATCTGGTATAACAACTTGCCAAATACTTAGCAAGATATACAGCAGTTTATAGTAGATGTGACTGACAGCCAAAAATGTGCCCCAAAAGTCTTACAGAGCTTAGTGCAAAGCTTTTTCCTGTCATTTTTCAAAGTATATATTCCATTTCCAATTCACTTCTGTTAATGTCATTAAATATTACGGGTCTTTTTTCCCATAAAGGAAAGTAGCTTGCAAGCTCATTTGCTAGCAAGCTGTGATTTGTCCCCAAATACATGGTGTCAACACAGAACTGTATCCACCACAGACATCCTCCTGCTTACTTAATCCTTGCCTCTCTGCAATGAAATTCCGACTGCTAAGAACAGGGTCTTTAAACAGGTCCAAAAGGAGGGGTAGAGCACCCTACTTTATTTGAAGTCTAGACAGGGAAGGTTTAGTCTATGCAATGCAAAAAGCAGCAATGGGAAGGTAACCCAGCAAGAGGAGAATACGAGGACTAAAGGAACGCAGAAAAGTGCCAGTCAGAAGAGTACAACTGAAGGAAAAGGACCCAAGAACTAAAACAAGAACTTGCCTTCCAGGGTGAGGTGGATACCTGGGTCCAGAGGAAAACAAGCAGACTGGAAACAGGCCTGAGAAATGGAGGAAAGCAGGTGCCCATCTACCACTGTAAAAAACTACGTTCTGTGGATATAAACCCACCAGGGTGGAGAGTTCTGTTGGGTGGACGTGCCCTGAGGTGAACAGACTCACCAGTACCAAGGTGGCTCAGGTACCCGAGGCAGCAGCACTGCCCAGAGATTAACACGCTCACTGCCTCAAAACACTGAGGTAGGACAGATTGCTTTTGCACCCATTAGGTATGCTGCTTTCAATATTCCAGCCAGGCCATTCACAGCTATCGTAGGTATTTCTGCAAAGTAAGGCAATGCACTATACCTTACAGATGCATCTTCTACTCCAAGGCATTCTTGGACTGACAATTTATGATTTTCGGCAGCCTAGGCTATTTTCAAAACACTGATATTAAGATGAAGCCCACTGCATCTTTCTCAAAATCTATTAGTTCACTCTTCTGTGTGTATACGTTTAATCCTCCAAGAACTAGATAAAAAGATTGCTTACCTGGCCTGCAACTCCAGTGTTCGCTCTTTTCCAGACACTTGAAAAGTGTGTGGATATTCTTCATTATGAGTTTCTATAATCTTCATGCCATCTATGCCAACTCTAGTTCGAACTGAGAACTTTGATCCTACCAGGCTGAATTTGGGGACGCAGTAGAGCAGCATATTGTTAAACTGGGGAAAAAAAATAAACACGTGGCTTTGCATGAACAAAAACACAGATACAGCCACAGTTTCTACTGAAAGCTGAACAGTATCACAAAGCTAGACTTAGTGGGTGAGGAAGCAGTTTCTTTCCTGCTCAGTTGATATACGAGAAGACTAAAGCTCTAATGCAAGACAAATTATTTTTCTTACTTGTTTAGAAGTAAGATTAAAAAACAGCTCCAGTGGATATAATTGCTCTGTATATGCAGCAATCTTCATAGCATTTATTATCAACAATACTCAGACTTGGTATTTTATACCACTGCAAAGCTTTTGTTAGAAAACAACATTCTTATGCACCACTTCTGCAAAACCTACTCTAAACTGCAGAATAAGAACTCTTTTCTTCAGTTTACATATTTATATTTACCCTGTACCCAAACCATATGGTTTCGTAGAAGTTGTAACTGATACTATATGAAGACATTATTTGCCATTTCTCCAAGACAGAAGAATGTTTCTTGGAGTTTTTATTCAAGGAAACCCTCAATATCACAGGAAAAAAATAATACGTGAGCAGTACAAAGATACATTCCTTTATTAAATATTAGAACTTTAAATAATGTTTAAATGTCTAGAGCCCCAGCCGAGAAGCACAGTTAAGTCAGATCTATAGCATTTAATTTTCTCACATTTTTCTCAAAATTAATTATTAAAAAGAGAAACTCACTTCAGTTAAGTCCTATTTCATTAAATTCCTTTCTAGCCTATTGCCTAGTTTGTATCACAGATACAGTACATGTGAACTTGTCACCTCTCGTATGAAGGGCACATCATTTTAATCAGCTATCTAGTCCCATCTGAGGTCTTACTATTCAACGATTTCTCCTTCTGTGTGAAGCACAGGCAAGCAGGAGTTGTGCCTCAACAACCTATTATTAGTCCTCATTAACCAGAACACATGCAAATGCCAGAGGCCCATAAGCAAAAAATGTATTAGCAATTTCTCTTGCATGGGAAGCAATGAACTGCATCAAACCTTTTCGGAGGGAGTTGTAAGGGAGCATGGCTGCAGTTTGTTAGTTCCAAGACAGGACACAGGCACCTGACAAGAGGATGACCCACCACGATAACAAGCTCCCACAGGACCATAAGACTTACTGGGATCTCAACACACAATCTATCAGGACTAAAATCCTAAGCTTCTACGTTTCAGTTTCATGAGAATGTCAAAGTTCTCATGCTCTAGGATCTGTGTTTGTAATCAGTAGCCACTTATTTAAAAGGGAGTTGCTGGACACTGCTTACATTTATTTAAAACCATGTACTCTGTTCTAAATGGTGATTTCAAGCCTTTCTGTAAGCAGTATAAGGTTTGCTCATGCTCTAATATCATTAGTGGGAAGGCACTGACATCAACTACAAGAGGATTTCCCTCTCTTTTTGGTAGTTCAAGTCTAGGAAGGTATACAGCCAGCCCTGCAAACACAGGCCACCATACTTACTAGGAAAAGATACCGTTCTTGAGCAGACGTATTGCGAGCAGCGAGTTTAAGGATCTGCCCTTCTTTTATCAGTTCATTTGAAGGGTTCACAATGTCCTCCTCTTCTCCCAGCATCTCATATATCTCTAACAATTTCTTTAGATTCTCCTTTACAGTGAAAATACAGTTATAAAACTTATTAATTAAAGCACAGATCTTTAAGCACGTTTAAATGAAATGATGGGAGCTTGCGTACGTTAGCTTTGAAAAACATATATATCCATCTGGTATGGATGGTCAGTCATACAGACTAATTAACTTAGTTGATACGGTAACAAGTACTTTTAGAAATGTCATCTCCTTGGTGATTTTAAAAATGCAGTTATACATACAGCCTACATTATTGCTTGTCCAAAATATCTCACATACTTAATGAAGTACCTATCATGCCAACCCAATATGGTAGAGAAACAGTAACTACTCTTTACAAACATTATCCTCCCGCTGGCAGAAACAGATGAAACAAGGTTAAGAGTCCAACATATTAGCAGCTATTTGAGCCAGGGGATGAACCCAGCCTGCCCCATTTTCCACTTGAGATAATTAGGTGGAATGCCAGATTTTGTCTGTCATTCCCAGAAGCTGTATAAATGCCTTAAGTAGGAGGAATCACTTGGACTCAGGAAACCAATTTTTGCCATTTTAGGGAAGATCTGCTATTCACACTCCTAGCTTCATCAAATACTAAAATATGTTAAAAAGTGAACAGAAAAACAAGGATCATTTACCATTTTTCTTATTGCACTATTCGAATGACTTGCTGCAGTGGATATGATTTCCAAGGATTCTAGACAGAAGAATGACAAAAAAGTAAAACCAAAAATTTGCATTTTTACATATTTATATATTACATAGAAAAAAAAATTTGATCATTCTACAAAGCTGTTTGTAATTTTTATGTAAATTACACACTACAATGAATTTACTAAATTATCAATAAAAAGTAACCGACGTAAAGTAGAAAGCATAAGGAATTCAGCTATTAAATAAAACTATAATCTGGAAAGATCAGAAGAGAATTATTGAAGATTATTTTAGAGCTTCAGCGCTTAGAATCATGTTTTTTGTGACATGGACAGTCATGGCTCTTTCCCCTCTTTTCTCAAAGTAGTCCAGAATGTCAAACTACGTTTTTTAGTTGAAAGAGCTCATATTACAAGTATTTATGGTAATAGTACTAATAACGAAATATTTCAAAAAATTATCTGGCAAGTAATTTTGAACAATCGTGGAGATATCCTCAGCTGTTCTTGTGTAAATACAGAGAGGAATAAATTTAAAAATGGGCTGTTCTTTTTCCCAACAAGATCTTAGAAGTACAATAAGGAGTCTAACTCCACTTTTTTTATAAATAAGAGACATCTATTCCAAATGTGCATAAAGCAAACAAAAACGCCATGAAAAGCAACAAAAAAAAAAAAAAAAAAAGAAAAACCACAGCCCCTGATCATCCAACAAAGCAAACAAATAAAAACCTGTGCGCTACTCCAAAACTAATGCAAAACTTAGGTGCTCCAGGGGAATACTAAAGGCTTTACAGTTTTTATATTAACTTCATCTACTACCCAAACAGATTTTTTTTTAAGAATCCTACAATTCCACTGAAGAAATTCTATAATTCTTTTCAGAGGGACTTTGCTTTTTTTTTTTTTCCCTGAAAAGATCTTTAATTTCCAGTATCCTCCTACTAATATCTTATTACAGCTCTTTTAATGGCTAGAAGATATTTACTTTCAGCATCTTTCCAGTCTAGAGAGTCCTGAGGCAATTTCCTTAGGTAGTCCTTCAGAAGCATCTCGTAGCGTGGAATGCGTTGTACTGGCTCTAGCATGTGATGTTGCAATGTCAAATTTCCACACACTTTTTCCTTCTAAAAAATTGTAAACATATTCCAATGTAGTAGGCAAAAATGTTATTAGGATATAGCAAAATAAAAGTTACGATTGAGAAAACATAAATAATGTATTTTGAAACATGCATGATAGACCTTCTGAAAGAAAATAGAACTACTTTACTGAACCAAATAATTAAAATCCTTCCCTAAAAATAATTGCAACAAGTCTTCCAAGTATCCAGTAGAATTCACACATAAAAGTCCTACCAAGAAACCCTCCCAAACTCCAGTATATTTTTACTTAGTTTTTTAACTCAGACAAAGAATTGCAACTGAATTAATAAGAACAGTTCATGACCACGTATTAGAAAACAATTCTTAAAATATACCTTTATAGCCCATTTATCAGAGGAGGGAATGCTTTCTTTGAGTTTCCTTCATAACGTAACCCCCGCTCAGAAGTGTTTTAAGATGCATATTCATTACCATAATGTTAGATGCCATTAAAATATTACATTAAAATATGCATAGTTGTCTTCCCTGGCTTAGTATCACAAGACCCTATAGAGTAGTAAAATTTAAGCAGAAATACCTGATCCTATTTCTAGCTGTTCAGTCTGCAGTAGGAAGGCAGATACCTGCCAGTTCACAGACAAGCCTACAGGGAGCACTAGAGGGTATAAAATGCACTTTTGACTAGAATGGTGCATTCCTTCACTCCTAAACTTTCTCTACATTTTGTGTCTCAGCATTTGGGATTATCTGCTTCCAAAGCATAGTACTCTGCATAGCAGCACTGGTGTGAACCAACAGAGTACTTATGGATCCAGTGCAAGTACCTACAGTTGCACTCACACGTCACTTTAGGATAAAACAGTATTTACTTTTGGTATCTATGACAAAATGTATTTTTTTTTTTTTTAGTCTTCTCATGTTTCAACCTTTCTACTTTGGTCCATTATGTCGCAGTGGAAAAGCTGGATTTGTGTTGGTGTTTGCACGTATGCGAAGGGAGAAGGAAAAGACAGAATGTGGCGTGAAGCGGACAAAAACAACAACCCTTAATTCTAAGGGATTTGGTATTTAATTTTCTCTTTAATCCTTTTTTCACCCACAAACCTATATATTTTTATATATGCTTGCATTACTTGGAGATCTACATTATTCTCTCCATTACCTGAATGTCTTGAATAATGAACTTGAATTGAGGTGACCGTTCAGTCCACGTTTTCACCAATTCCATTGCGTTATCAAAATTCTTCACATACTCTCCATACATCTTGAGGAAAGGAGCTAACTTTTGCAGAATATCTCCAATTCTGGGGGTGGTAGTCCTGCAAAGTAAGAGGGTGGAATCTCAGAGCAAACAGAAAAGAAAAAAAATATCACACTAGGTTATAAAACGGTTTCAAGAGTTTAACAGAGAAACCTTCTGTCTGGGATCACCTCATGCAGAGTTCCGACATAATCATTTAAACTGACCAGCATTAACACAGAAAAAGTTTTTGTATCCTCTTTAATGATGTATGAGCATTATAGGTCATTTGGAGCACTAAAGAAAGAAAAGCTACCTGTAATAAGAAACTTGAAAGATTTTGTTTACAAAACACTGCCTAATTTATTTTATTTGCAGTTCCTTAAAACTACGTTATCGTCTTTTGACCATACTTTACCCTCCTAATATCTAACCTGTGGTTTTGTTTAAGGACTAAATCCATATTGTACAGCTTCTCTTCTGTGCATTATATAAATACATGTATTCACAACTTTTTAAATTCATTATTTATCTAAGAAAACCTATGAAGTAGAGAGAATCCCTTGGATTCCAGTCATTTGTGAGAGCTTTCTTGTATCTTTCCCAAACACTGATAGCATCTTCAAATAAAACAGAATAGTAAAGAAAGTGGTGGAGAGGCAGAGAGAAGCTGCACTCTCGATGCACACCAAGAAAGCGGAATGGCACACATGCATCTCCGAGAACTGCAATAGGAAACATGTTTCACATTTCATTTTCAAGGACAGACTCAGAAACTCGGTATTTCTGGGCTTCTGGAAGTGTGAAACCAATGTTGTGGTAGTGGTCTAAAGCGAAGCAATCTACTGCAATTACTTCAGCAGTCTACTCCAGAACACCACTCCTTCAAGAGAAAAGCTGTGCAGAAGGGAAAAGTTACTTGAAGAGTGAATGTCGCCAGGACTGGCAAAGGCTGGTCCAGCTCCAGCTGCTCCGGCGGGGCAGAAGGAACCTGTGTAAGACCTGGCAGAAGTCGGAGCTACTGCTGGGCCTGGCAACCAGAGAAGGGGACAAGATAGGGTGGGAAGTTGGCCTCTCAAATCGCCAAGGCTCTCCACCCTTAATTAGCTTCACGTATTTGTTCAACCACCCTACATGCAAGCAGACACATACACTTTCAAAGGCAGGCTAGTAATTTAAAACAAAACCCCTCTCCTTTGATTCACTGAATGCTATTTTCCCTGGGCTGTCATTTTATTGCAATGCAGCGTATTTTTTTTTAACTGTAAATAAAATACAAATCATGCCAATTCCAACAGAACCAAAGAAAATGTGAATACATTTCCAGAGGTCACCAGAAAACAAAAGACAAATCAAAACACAGACATTTAAAGTTTTCTGATAAATTTAACAGATTAAGTAATTATAAAATTTTGCAATTAAAAAAACTCGAAGCAGGAAAGACTGTGGCAATCCTTTGTATCTCAAGAAACTGGCACAAAAAAAGAATACTTCTACTTAACTGTTTCACAACTATTACTAGACAGACATTAAAAGAAAATGTTAAAACTTTTATAAATCAGGAGGGAGGAACAGTTTGCTATGCCTGCTCCTTCGATATTTAATGGCAGCTCATTTACAAGAAGATTAAAAAATTTAACAACTACTTTTCATGCAAGGCCCTTATATGTCCAAAGAGTGAAACTGTATAAATACAAATTCATCATCGTTTCAGGAAAGAAAGACGAGATCCCCATCACACAAAGAGCTCTGAAAGAATAGGAAGGACAGGGGAAGTCACGTAAAGCAGAACCTTCTGAGAGCAGCATCCTTCCTTGATGGTCTGACGAGGATAGACTAGTTCATCTCATATTCTAACACTTCACCATGAGCCAAAATACGAAGTTCTGCTAAATGCTATCAAGTCCAGGACAGTCACTGTTTTCTTGGTTAGAGATATCAGAAAGAGAACTACTGCCATGGACCCAAATCAGCACTGCATTATTGCCAGACAACAAAACCAGCATCATTACATGGGTCAAGAAATAGGACTTCACATTGTAACATAGGCACAGAAACACTTCATATTTCTGTGTTATCAGACCACAGTGGTACTCACATTTGCATTCTAAAAACTCAAACGTGAAATCGCTGACTTAGTAATCGTGATTTGTAGCATCTCATTTAAAACTGTCACGGCTACAAGAAAACTAAGCAAAGGTCTGTAGAATCACAGCACAGCAAAGGTGTCTACAGAAAGACTGCTTTCTCTTCCAATATACAAGCTAACAGGCATCCAACAAAATAATTGAAAGTTGCAGTTTCAAAGCAAAACAATTTGTGTGAGAAGGTGAGCTCTAATTGCCCCAGACTACAAAACTTTGCGCTGAAAGCATGAAATAATTTCTTTACCAACCCCCTCCCCGCTGCCCCAGGCTATCACACTGTGTTCTTATATTCTTCCCCAGGTATCTGCTGTTGGTCATCCTCGGGTATAAAAGACAGAGTTAGATCGGTATTTTGTTTGATGTGAGATCACTGTTATGCTCCACCATTCTCTTTTCACAGGAAATATATTGCAATAAAGCTGCTCCCAGTATTTTCAAGCCATATGTTGTAAAAGAGATATTTTGCTCCAGCTGTTCCTCAACTCATTCAGAATGCAACTACCAGACAATTTAATTTCCACCCAATAAGCTTAGATTCACACTGCACTTTCTTCTAAGAAAGAAGAATCTGCTTCTGATCCGCTTTCTCGGTTGCAAAACTATATATTTTTACCTTACAGTTTCAAAACAAACCACAACTCAGGGAAAGTGTCAGAAATTTTTATCCAACTATTTTTACTGGAAGCTAAAGGATAACAGAAGAAATGCATAAAGCTACTAATAGAACATACTGAAGTATTTTCTATGACTAATTAGGGAAAACGCTGAAGAAAGTGAACTCTGTATCTGTCAGAAGCTGTTGTGACAGACAACTTCAGAGACTGGTGATGGGGAAAGAAAGTTATCTCAGATTTTTCTTTCAGCAGTGATCAGAAACAGTTCTCTTCAACCGCACCCCTCCTTTATCTCCTCCCAAAAGCGTAATGTTTTAAGGACATTTAAACAGTCTGTCTCAGGTACAGCGCGGAGCAGCATGGGAAAGATAATATCCTTATGATGCAATTTATTAGTTTTGCACCAATAGTCAAAGCTCATCTGCAAAAGCATTTTTCAACCTTTTAAGCTATGTCATTAATCACACGGTATTAGTGAGCGATTTAGCATTTTGCAAATAAGTAAGGTAGTGCGACCCATCTTCTGTGCTCTATAAAGAGTCTAAAGGAAAATTTTAAGAGTTCCTTACAGATTTCATTTCAGTCATATACAGCACTGACATAATGTAGTGTAAGCTGCTTTTTAAACTTCATTACAGTAAACTAACCTCCACTTCTCATGAATATGCACTCTATTTTAATCCAGACATTTGTATTTCCTATCAGATTTTTTTCAATTTATTAGAAGAAAAGGGTGGGTTTACCTTACACGGTTGTTTTGCAAGGAATGGAAATTAAGGTGTAAACTTTGCTACATTCCACAATGCTTAGGTTTTATTTACTTTCTTGCATTATAGATTATACAGGGCTACCATGTATTTGTGCATGCTAATTATTCTATTTTAAATAATCATCACCTTAAAGGGGGATCATCTTACAGAGTCAGGAGACATAGCTGTTGTCTAAAGCACCACTCTGTGGTCTGAGATTTTCATGTGTATCAAAAATACATTATTTCTCACTTTTTAGTGTGATTTTTGACAATTAAGGAGTTATATGAAAGCGTAACTGGAAGTGATACACGGACAAACACTTGAATTCCTCACAGGAAACCCCAGATAACAGGAAATACAGGATCCAAACAGGTGCGAAGGTGAAACAACTGGATGAAACAATATTTGTAATTTTTATGGTATTTTTTAAATGAGGTGATCCCTTTTCCCATATAAGGCAGGGAAGCAGCAATGGTTTGAGACTTTTTTTTTTTTTTTTTGACAGTTATGTAGACCAAAACTACACGGTTATATTTTAATATGTCCAGGATTGCATACACTAAGGTAGGATAAAGATACTACAGTATCTTTACATGATCATTACAGAGTACATTTACACCTTGGCTATCCTTCTTTCTTGCTCCAAATAGAGGTCAAGAAAAGCTGGGGGGAAAGCGGCCCCAAAAGATACCTGACATGGATTTTAACTTCAAACAGAAAACCAAAACGCAGAAAAAAAAGAATGTATCCCACCTTATTAGAGAAAGCAGTAATGACAAAGGTCACAGTGCTACAAGGGTAGCACAACACACATACATTTTATTTGTCTCCCTTTTGTATGCTGTGCAATGAATTCATCAGGTAGCACACAACTTCAGTCTGAAGCCCTAATTCAGCAATGCATTTAATCATGAGCAATCTCACTGGCTTCAGTGAGATACATGGCCTTTATTTTGAGCAAATGATGCAAGACCTCTGCTGAGTCAGATCCTGATGAAGAGTGGAAGAGCAGATGTTCTCCTACCCACGGTTCTTCCTGGGCTTCAAGCACTTAATTATGAAGACACCTTCCCTACCTCAACCCCGAGTTCCTACAGACATAGATTTAGTAATATATTAACCAGTGAACCGCCTCTTACCATTCTTGCATTCTTTTCTCAAGTTCTGGAAGTAAGAATTTACTGTGGAAGGCATTTATCGATGAAATGTTAGAAAAGATTTTGTTAATCACTTCGGCTGGAAATGAACCTTTGTTGGCTTCCTCAAGAAGTCTGGAATAGAATACCTGCAATACAGAAAAAGACCCCCAAACCTATTAGCCTATAATCTGTAATCAGTGGAAGACCACCTATGCATCCCTCCTACTCCAACTGAGGCAAAATTAATATTTCAATAATATAGACAAGCAATGACAGACTCATTGTCTTTCCCCCACCAGAAATTAAAAGTTTCTCCTCGCCTTAAACCCCACTTTTTTTCTTGTGAGCCAGGAAAGCACTGCAGGCAGAGCAGACATAAGGAAAGCCAGACTGAAGTAGTGCCATTTTGGACCCACTCCAGGCATCCTGTCTGTTTTAACAGCTAGATCATCTCAGCTTTCCCAGTCTTCCAGTCGTATTTTCCACTCTTGCTTTCTCTTCCAATAGCATGATGTCTGATCACGGTTAGCCCAACCACTCTCTCCTTAGATGTTGCATCCCTGTATCCTTTTGAAATCAAAGTAGTTGGCAGACTATGAGCAGCCCCCATATACCATTTAAAGCACAAAAGGGGCCCAGTTCTGACTGGACACTACTACAGTCTCTTCTAAAAAATACATTCTTTTCCCATCAGTGGGCTCTACCTGACTAGATGCAGTTGCAAAATGGCTAGAGACACGGGCAGCTGTTAATATGCACATCACATAAAACAGCGCTTATGGTCCCTCTGTCTCCCTCTCCCATGCTTGAACTGATTGCATCTCCCTAGAAAGGACTTCAGAAGTTTGGGTAAGGGCCTGGGAAAGAAGAAAAGAGTCTGAAGACAGGAACTTTGATAATCCCAACTGAGACAGCAAAAGTGTCTTAAAAGGAAAAAAGCCATACACTTCCACATATACTCTAAAACATGCTCACTTTGCTCCATCTCCAAGAGGGCAGCTAATTTTGACAAGTTACTCGGAAGACTATAAAGACCACATAACTTTTTAACCCAGTTTAGAAACGTAACAGTCGCTTCCCAGTCTTCTGCATTTTTCTCATTGGCAGCAGTTAAGCAGCTGTGCTTGAAACACATTTTTCATAACTCTGTCCAGTTACTACTTGGAAAACAAGCATAGGAGTAATGCACTTATGATCACATTAAGAAAAGTAATTGTACATTACCCATCAGAAAAACCTGTGAATGAAATAAACATTTTCCTTTTTTATTTTTAAGCTCCTCTAAATCAAAGCCTTTTGTTCTGCAATACTTTGTCTTTTAAAATGTACCATATATCCATCCCAGTGTGGGTCTGCTGGATAAATCCACCTTCATTAGGACAATTACTTAGATCCCCAAGCAGCCTGAACAATTATTGTATCAGTTGAGACTTCTTATTTTCACCAACTGTTTTTACTGGACTTACTCATTAGACCTGAGAAATTTAAACAGCAATATCAGAAAAATATCATGGAGTAAGGCAATGCAAAGCTATAGGTACCCAGGTAAAATGGATGTAAGTGTTACATGAGAAAGTAAACAAGACTTTAAAAGGAAAATACTCAAGATCTACAGATATCAGTTTGATTCTACGGAGCACAGGAATGCAAAACTTTCCCTGTAGGAAGAGGCATTTCTGGTCACTTCAATAGGATTTAGTCTAAATATATAGTGGGAAAATAGGGGATATACAGTTTAGAAATGGGCATCTTCCTAGATTCTTTGGCACTAAAAAAGTTCTGATCAGGTGGCTCAAATTTGAAAGGTTTAGTAATTTTCTAGTGAGTGGCTGTTTTCAGTATTATAAAATGACACCCTTCTCTGTTTCACCAGAAGCCAAGAAATTGTTATCCATCCTCTTTGTCAGAAGGGCTACCAGTATGCACTACTATTGCTTGTGGTGACATCTACACACGCAGAACATAGTGCATCAGTACCCATAAAATTCTTATACTTTTAAAATGTAGTGTCCTTAAAATAGAAACATAGGCAAAGTTATGTGGCAAGAGCAAATGAGTGACTGGAAAAGTCAGCAAAATGTGAAAAACGTACCATCTCTTACGCAATTTATAAACACACTTATGCACAGCCATTCAAGTGAATTCAGGGCAAGACAATAAAAACAAACTCAAGAAAAATGTACCCCATCTAGGAGGTCAAGTCGGCTAACGTAGGCTTTTTCTGTTTGCAGAAGTTCACTGGCAATTTTGTGACGTTTCTGTTCATCTGTCTCCTGGAGGAAAATAAGAAAAAAATCTTAGGATACTGGAGGTAACATAACAATACTAAAAAAAAAAAAAACAAACAACAAACTGAAAACACATACAATTACTTTACAGTCCAAAAAGAAACTGAAGTCCAAATTTCACAGTTAGTAATATACAGCCCATTTTGAAAAATACCACCTCTCCAGCAGTTTAATCAAGAAATACAAAAGTCAAGGAAGGATAAAAATCAAACTGCAGAACAAAACTCAGAGACTAAAACATTTAATATTTCTCAGTTTGTACAGGGATCTTTGCCAGAGCACCAACTCCCTACTTAAGAGATCAGCTCACATCCTGGTAATCAAGTACCACCGACCTTTCAGAGCTGGAAGAACTGATTTGCAGAGTAAGAGGGAACAGATGGGATTAGTTGGTGTTTGCCTCCGCCCCCGTTTCGAAAGTTATTTGAACTGCGTGTTCTTTGCACAACAGAATTATTGAAAAATACTGTACAAAATGTTTTATGTTCACCAATACACTCACTGCTAATTAACTGTTGACTGCAATTAGAGGGCTCCTTCGCTAGGTCTTTATGGAAGTCACTTTTGCATCTTAAGGGAAGTTTTCACTTTGAAGTCTTTAATTTCACAAAATATATTTTTGATTCTTCTGTGCAACAGAAACTTAAAATATTCATTCAAATCTCAATATCAAACTAAATATGTTACAGTATAAAATTATGAGTTGCTATGAGAAGTTATTTCAAAACAAACAATGAAAACACAGCCTTCTACAGTATTAAAACATTAGGGAAATGCCTCAGGCTCACAAGTGTCAGATTCAACAGAACTACACCTCCATTATAAGATTTTTTCTTCCAGATCTAGTGCCAGCACTGAAAAGTGTTCACACCTAATGACATCCAAGTCTTTCCTAAGTAAATGGCAGTCTTATCATGATGCTTATGGGAAAGTGGTAATTTTCTAGACAAACCACAGAAAGTCTTCATAAAATGATAAAGAGGAGAGTTTGAAAGAGTTATTTCTGATTTCACACTGCACACTGCTTTCCACAAAAGTACAATAAACATTTGCAAGTACATTTATAAAGATGGTTTGAAGAATACTGAATATTAAATACAGTCTTTTCATTTAAAGCACTTCAGTGGCTTTTCTCCCCCTTTTTAGTATTCAATAACTATTCCAAATTTGAGCACATTTCCATTATAATCTGCAGTGTTAACAGTCACACTGCTACATGGCAAGCCGCCTCCCTAAATACAGGCTTTCAATAGTGACTTCAAAGCTGTTCATTAAATCTGTTTAAATCAGCATAGCAACCACAGTAACCTACAGAACAGCATTTTAAGTGCCATCAAGAGACTGCAGGGAGCTGGAGGATTAGTTATTACAGGTACAGCATGCCATTTAGTGCAGCTATTTACATGGGATTTCATGTGGACTTGAGGCACAAAACCGTGGAGGCTACTGGTACCTCAACAATTAGTTGGTTGGTTGGGTTTTTTCTCTCTGTCCAAAACCCCACTTTCTCCCTGAAACACTGCTACAGAATCAACCCACAGTTTTCAGAAGATTACCTGATCCAATTAAGAGAAGGAAAATCACACAGAGCAGACTTGAAAATATCACATAAAATGAGCAATTCAGAAAAAGCACTTAATCCACACTCCTAAATCAAGGCAAATCCCTCTTGCTCTCACACTATGCTCTGACTCCAGCTTCCCGATCCTCTCCGTATCAACCTTACACATCTTCCTAATTCTTGAACCTCTGTCTTTTTTCTACATCAGTCATGCTACCTGACATGGAAATCTTCCACATGGGAAAAAATACACACCACGGATGAGTTATATTTTAATCACAACGGCACGTTCTTATTCCAGCATAAGAAAACACACCTACAAGGTTAGACCAAACAGACATGGTTAGTGTGCTATATGGAGAACGTTCACATTAGAGGTACACGATTTCAACTGCTGATCAAAATATCAGAAGTGTGAGATAGCAGTAGGTGCATCAGGCAGGACTGCAAACTTGTATCTCTAGATGGGTTCTTACAGGAAGTATTTCACCTGGGCCTACTTATATATTCTTTAATACACAGTCGTATATCCTTAAAATCATTACATTACTATGGATGCTTAAGAAATTAAGACAAGTCATTTTTACCTAAATTGTTCCTGAACTCTGAAATTAAGAACAGGTATGAAAAATGCTACTGAGAGTATGAACTTTTTTCACTTGTGTTCGTATTTCCTAACATTGTTTTTCCATTGTCCTAATCTTACAAAAATTATGCTAATTTAAAGCAGCCTTTACATAAACCTAAATTCTAATATAGCTATAACTTATTATCCAAACCAAACAGGAGCTATCTCCTATCAAGAAAACTCGACCTAACAACATGACAGTGATGCTGTATATGATCCAGTCCTACCTAAGTGTACCCGTTTCCCCAAGGGCTTTGCAATAATATATTAAGCAACACAGTCAGGGTGAGAGATGTAGAGTATGAACAAATATAATTCAATCTGTGTTATATGTGTGTGTTTGTAATGCTGAGTTTGGTCTAAAGTAACAAAGTGGGGGGTTCTTTTCTAAAACCATTCATGTCATTGCAGCTTTCTTCCCTAAGTATTAGGAATATAAATGTGAATTTCCGGGAGAATTTAAGATTTCCTTTAATCTCTTGAGTCCTCAGTTTCTGAAATCAAGGAAAGCTCTAAATTTTTGCCGGACCTCTAATGAAAATCTTGAATGCTACCATCACCTTCTGGCATAATAACTCTATACAACAATCCATTGCACAAATGATGGGTGAGTTTCTTGCACAGCAACCAATAAAAGCAGTAAAGATCCTGGTACCCATAAAGAAGACATTCTTCTCAAGAGGATTTACGTGCTTATATTGAGTGCTAAAGATAAACAGCTTTGTTCATGACTTACTGTTGCTAAAGTCCACCATAAAATTGCAGAACCTGGAAGAAGCCGGTAGAACCTCTCAAGTGTTGCACCAGTAAAACATTTCCTGGCAGACAGTTAATTTTGCAACAAAGTTTCACCTTATTTAAATCAAAACTTCACCTCACATTTAGAAACTACAAGATTTCCACAGGGTTTTGTACCTGACAAACCAGAGCCCCCAATATTGCCATTGAAACAGACATCAAGTAAGGGCTTTATTAAAGATGTGCAATGGATTCTTCTCCATCCGTGGCATGCATGAAGTCTATATCCCTATTTTCTACCAGTCTCACAACAAATACCGAAGCATTTGTCATCCTGTCTTCAGTTAGCTCAAGCAGCAGATTTCTCACAAGATGTTATTCAGGAAGTTAATTGATTGGGATGTTCCTGTACTATTCAGCCTCCGCACTGTAGGCAAACCAAGTTTTATGACAGAAGGTGCTTCTGCTGCAAGGCAGGAAACTTCTCACTTTTAATTGTCTTTTTTTCTTGTAATATTTGTAGTTTGTGACTGTCAAACTAATTAAGTAAATAAGAGAAATAAAGCATACTCTACTCTGGTCATTTGGGGAAAATATTTCAGTACACTGCCAAATTTAGTAAGTTTTGTCTCAACTTTTCCAGTACCTGCAATAATCTGACTTTATATAGATCTACAGTGATAGGGGGGAAAAAAAAACAATTGTAAGAGCAACATTATTTCAAAATAAGCTTTCTTTTCCAAGACTAAAAAGTAATTTCTGCTCTGGTTTTGCACCATTCCCCAGTTTAATTCACCCTTTCCAGCAGCAGACTTTGTTTACTTCTGCTATACCTGCATGCATTTACAAAGAGCATCACTTTTTTCTCTTCCCTGAATAGGAAAATAGCAAGAGACAAAGAAGATACTTTGCCTCAGTATCAAAATATATATATTGGATGCATAATTTAAAGTTCATCTGTGACTCACATGCATCTGCTGCTATAGCTTTTACTCAATTGTACCTACACTTGTTTAATTAAAAAGGACAGAGCAGTGCTGTTAGTCTGTGTAGTGCAACCTCAACTGGACTGCATCCCAGTTTTAAGATCCTTTAGTGACTAAGCGGGCGCTTAGCAAAATCAGACTGTCTAAATGCTCTTACTCCTTCCCAATGCCTGCTTGGATTGAAGAAAGAGCTTAAAGCTCTACCAGACCTCTCCTGCTCCTCATCACCCTCCCCCTATCCCAGACAGCATGGCAGCAGCTGCTCAGACCTCCACGGGGCTGATTTCAATCTATAGGTTGCATTAAACCAAACTAGATCAGTCTTTGATTTTAGGAAGCGTGGCCCTTAATCATTCAGTGGTAGACATGCTTCTTAATCTCACCAAACTAAAGGGGATGTCCTTGTACCGCAAGCGAGCTGGTATCTCAGGAAGTGCTGCTGTGACCCAGTTCAGTTTTACAGATTCAGTTCTTCACCGATGCTAACTTAAGAGTCATCCTGCATCGGTTTGTTCCATTTTGGTTTACCCTTCAAGCACCAGCAAACAATAAATCCAACAGCAGTCACATCTGACTCTTGGTCAATATAGGACAGATCACACGTGTTGGTCCCAGCAGCTCAAAGGCAGATTTTGATGACACTGCTGCCATTAGCATTTGCCCAGTTCCTTCCTGGACTTTACAACAGCACTGCCTCCCATTTCTGTTTTTTTTTTTTTTTTCTGAAAATGCTGCCAGCACCTTACTGCATGGCTTGAATTCAAGCTTAACATCATTGCCCACTGAGCACTCAGCACTTTATTGGCACAGAGAGGGGAAACAGGCATTACTGAACAGGAGATAGAAATATAATGAGAGGTGTGGCAGGTTAAGGTGCCTTGGACTGCGACCAGGCTTATGTTTAGATGGGAATCATAACATTCACTCGTTACTGGCCAAAGTAACCCCTAAAACAAACAGGAAAACCCACACACCGCAGCGCTTTCTTGTAATTGCCTAGGATATTTTGTCCTACAATACATGAAAATTTGAGACCCACCTTTCCCAGACACTGAATTTACCCTCAAGAGTGTATGTCTGTGACCCCTAGCTAGCCAGACTCAAGGGCTGGGAGAGGTCTGTAGTTAACTGATGCAGGTGTACTCCTGACAAGCAGTGATGAGCTTTATCGGTGCTCAGCTGTTTGGCTCTGCACATGGCCAACACATGGCATGGCTGGGCCAGAACTGTTAATGAAGTTCACTGGCCACCAATGCTGCAGTGTGAGAAGGCAAACTGCATAATCAAACTTTTAGAAGTGGAAATATGCATAATTTTTCAGCAATTAATTTCCCAAGACAGATTTTCTTCCACCCACTTATTTCCCTTAATTATTTAGAACCTTCCTTATGAGGAAACTCAAATTCATCATAAGTTCTCCTTGCTAACGAGACATATATTTAGTATACTCTGAACCTTGCGTCTATGTGATAGCTATCAGACTGCCACTGCCCTTCCAGCTTTGACTTGACAACTACATCCAAGTTAAGGATTCACACGATAGTTCTGCCTGAAGCCCTGTTGCTGCAGTTTACTACATATGGAATTTTTATATACACCACTGATACATGTTCCCTGTAGTCTGGCACAGTTGAAGCACAGTGCTAAGCACGTACACATATTTCAGCTTCACTTTTTTTAAACCTCAGCTAATGGGAAAAAGGAAACAGGAGAGGGGAAGAAAAAGGGGGGCAGCACCTAAAGAGGGGAAAGGCACGCAAAACTTTTTTTTCCCCCTGTCTTTTTTTCAGACAAAAAATAACCAAAAGATTTTCAACTTTCTGACCTGCTCTTGGAAGCTTATTTTTATAACAAAAAAAAAAAAAAACAACCTGGAGAAAATATACAAAGTAGTAATATATCAAGAATGAAACTATTTATCTTTTTACCTTTGTTTCTACAGGTTGATCCTGCTTGCTGATTTCCTCAGTTGGTTCTTCCTTCACGTTAGTATTAGCTTCTAGAGTTACATTTTCAGATGGGAGCAGTGTATCACTGCTTGGAGTCCTGTAGCAGCTGTTGAGCATCTGTCCTTCACAGGCAGCCATACTTTGCAAGGACTCTCTGGAAGTACTTTCTCTTTCCCCGTTTATCAAGCTGCTGTTGATGGCATTATCTGGAACCAGGGTGGACAGAGCAGAGCTACGATCTGGTAACCTCCTGTCCTCATCTTCCGTCTGGTCTTGTGCTACTACTCCGTTGGCTGTGTGTAGCTGTGCAACCTGAGTTTTGTCGGTATTACTGTTTCCCTGTTTTTGTAGTGGGTGCTGGGAGGGGAGTTTTGGCTGAGGTGATGCTGTTGACCCATATCTTCCTTGAGATTTAGAAATGTGGAGAACAGAGGAATCTTTCTTCAAATCACTAGGATTTAACGGGCTAAAAACACCAAACAAAGCACAGATGAGAAAAAAAGTTAAGCAATGTGTTATAGAAAATCCCTGATAAGGAGAGTAGGAGCGTTGCACAATATATTCCTCCCAAACCATGTTTTCCGGTGTTAATATTAGGAAGTTCAGGCCACCAAGACTTGGATTGCATTATTCCGTTGAAACACACACAGACATGTGTCTCTTACTGGAAACCCAGAGTACCGTCCATGTTGACTCATTACACCCTCATGTGTCTTGAATCTCATTTGTAAAGTGGAAGGCAGCACCATCAGCTCATGTAACAGCCAAGGGAACTGAGGCACTGATACATGAAGCAACTTGCCCAAAGTGTCCCAGAAGATTATTGGCAGAAATGAAGAAAGACTCATGGTCTCCCACATCCCAGCCCAATGCTTAAACTAACAAGCAGCCTGTTCCTTAATTGCCCTTTAATTATACAATATGAAGGAAAAGTGTCCAAGAACATTTAGCACCCCCTTCCTTAGTTCAGCGTATTATGGGAGGAGCTTTACATTCTTATCCCATTTCTTCCCCTGATTCCTTATTTAGCAGTGTCCTTTTGACATGCTGCATCTTTTCTGAAGGTTTTTTTCCCCACCATATTTTATCTCCACTTTAAGAACATTTTGACCCTTGTTCATACCTTTAACTATCTCCTTCTCTGTTTTACTGTTGAGATTTTGAATTTTAGGCCAATATAGATGGTAGCCTAATCTGTAAAAGTTCTTGTCTTCATTTTAGTTTAAAAGAAAATAAAAATAATACATTTTTGTCTGAAGTACATTTAATAAGCAATATTCAACTTGCAAAATGATCCTATGACTGTCCTCTAACATACTGTTCTAGTATGGACCAATAATCTTCTGAAAAGATGAAGGCTGCTTATAAACTGTATTTTTACTCCTTATTTATAGGACAGTTTACACAAATATTGCAAACATATTCTGCACTTTCACACACAAGGCTCAAAGAATATCTTACACTAGCTTTGTCACCTTCCATCATAAAACAAAAAAATTTAAATCAGTTTTCCGTTAGTTCTGAAAAGATAATGCCTTTCTTTAAAAATAAACTTAACTCCGACATAGGACTAATTTACATTTTTCAATTGCATGCACACAGCAAAGAGGTTTAACTTTTTGCCATAACTACATGTCTGTGGGCTGTACAGACTAACGAAAATAAGTTATCATAACTGACATTCACAGTTTGCAGTTCATGAACATGCTACACCTAGTCATTTGAAGACCAATAACTACAAGTGAAGTTTGCCTTCATGGAAGACACATTTTGTGAGTTGAGCTCATTTAAAAAACAGAAATTGCTTCCAAGGCCATAGCAGGATATTCAAGAACTTGGCATGTTAATTATGAAAGTTTCTCATAAGCAGGTATCATAGCATTGATAATTTAACCATTGGAGAGCTATTATTGGGTATATTTAATGAATGATGTTGGCCAAAAAGCAATCCACCTTCCCCTAGTCCTCAAAACAAAACGTCCCTATTTTAAAAAGTCTACAAATAAGAAAGTGTTCATTGCTTTCTTTATAGCTTGCTTTAATTGCATAATATCGAAGAAGTCCCTGTATAATGCAGCAGGCATGTCTAGGAGGAAGAAATGTAGGGCTCATTGGTGTAAGACACAATGATCTGAGGAGCTTCCTCCCAGAAAGGATAAAATTGTTTTTCTAAGGATACTACACTGTTAAAAAGGCTTGGGCAGTGCTCTGGAGGAAGACTTAGAAACAAAGCGAGAACAGGACTAGAAGCCTGTGCTAGAAGAATTCACAGGACCTCCAGTGATGCAGTAATTTCTTTTTCCCATCTTTGAGCAGCTGTCATGAGCAATTAAGTCTCTGCCTAATGACAGAAGTTTCTTGCAGATGAAGCTCTGAAATTATTTCTATTCCACTAGACAAACGTACTTCTGCAATGCTCAGCTGCTTCTGTGTAAAGGATTACATTTTCCCCATCTTGAGGGGAAATTCTTTCAATGAGAGTCTGAATACTCTGGCTCCTCAAAAGAACACACTCTGTTATACATCATGCATTCGTTCCCGTGGGGGGCATCCCTTCAGAACATCAGTATCCTGAGGAAAAAGAAGAAAACCACGTCCAAAACTTGCAATGCTCAACTGTCACTGGCCTGTTTCTTGAGCCGTTCCTCTGTCATGGGCTTTCTGGAGTGCCGCTCTCTTTATACAGAGCAGTTATATTCTGAAATTCTGTTTCAGTGCTTATGTTTGTCACGTACATCTAATTAAAGACGCACAAGTAACATTATTTTGTGAAAACAGAGTTCATTGTGGCTTTTGTATCTGGAAGTTCCGAATGCTTCCCATAGAGGGCAGTACCAAAACTCAAGAACATGAAGCTAGCTATTCCACCAAAATCATCAAAGCAAACAGTTTAGACAATGTATGCTATATCAACACAAGTAACTTGTACAGTTCACTCTCTTCACATGAATGATCTAAAGAGGTTAAGACAGTGTAAAAGGAAAAATCATGATTTCAGGTTTTTCTACTTGTAAATATTTTTGTTCTGCAAAAACAAAAGAAGTTAATATTAGCTCCAATGTTTCATTCTAAAATCAGCACTTATTTCAAATTGATGACATTTTTCAGGATGTTTTAAAAATGCTACAAGTTTGTTTGTTTCTTTCTTTTTTTTTTTTTTTTTCTTTTAAGAAAAATTAAGACTAGCGCCTTATGAAAAAGCACACCTTGTACAGGCCAAATATACAAATGGCTTACACCATTTCAAAACATGTACAGTTTTGCCACCAACTCCTCTGGCAGGGATGGATTTGAGCACCCCCATGGTATCAACATTCTTCTTCACAGGTACAAGTTCCAACAATCCACACACAAGAGTTACAAACCAATTCCAATTCTGTTACATACCTGCCTCCCTCAAAACGATTGATGAGATCTGACACTTTACTGGACTTTTCCTTTGTGACACTAGAAACAGGGGTGGGTGTCTCTTCCTCCATTCTTGGTTTCTGATTTGATAAAGCTTTATGCCTAGGGGTTTGGTATGTAACAGGTGACACCTTCTGCAGATGAATTGGCTTTGGAGGCACTGCAAACAACAACAACAGTCAATCACTCAGGAACTGTTTCTCTGAACTGCCAGAACACATATGAGATTTTTGCATAAGAACTTGCTACAGTAATAAAGAAGAGATGCTCTTGGCTTTACTTAACCATAAAGTTGCTTTATGAATACAGAGACTTCACATCATTTTTTATGCACTGTCTGGTATCAGGCAATTTGTTATATTTCTTAGATAAAAGCAAACCACATGCTACTTTAACAAGCTAGAAAATTAGGGGGGTTTCTTGTTTGTTTGTTTTTTATAGCGTACTGTAGTAAACACCTATGTGGCCTCCATAAATGCTGGTTCTATCATAAAAAAAGAATTAAGCATAGTCAAAGGATCTAGCTGCGCTGTGGAGCTCAAGAGAGATTTAAATTGCTGCCCCAAAACTCTGGTGTTCTCATGATTTACCTTCTCCCTCACAACCTCAATAATAATAGTCAGTGGAAAAGGTTTTTGCCTTCAGCTTTGAGCTTCCTTTACTCACTGAACCGTTGTCTATTTATACTGCTGAAAACTTGGCCCCCTAAAAATACTTTTTATTCTTCTTGCTTTTTTCCCATCCCTACTGTAAATCCTTCTAATTAGATTGTTAATGATCAGCTGCTGTTCAGTACAGCGGTGACTAGAACACAAAAGACAAGGTGATGTATAAAGCAGCTAAAGTCACAGGCGGCAGGGATCTTGAAATTAACTTTTATCCCTTTAAGCGACTCCGCAGCATTTGTGGACAGCAAAAGTACTTCACAGACAGGGCCCAAATGTGTTCCACTATCAGAGCAATGCACCTCCGGCTCCATAAAAAAAGAGACACTTAATGGCAAGGTCCTTAATTCCCAAGAACACAACTCGAGGCATTCCCACATAAACTCCCTAAGCATGCTGTGGGGAGAAGTGAAAGCAGTTGATAAGAAATTGAAAAATAAAGACTATCTCTGCCCTTAAATAAAAGGCAGGCATAAATCAGCAGGAGGAGGCAATGCCCTGCCAGTGGAACCAGCAGCCCCAGGGGCTCAGCCAGCACACCACAGGGACCACGCTCCAGTGTGCCACAGGCACCGACCCTCCAGTAACTACACAGACCTGCCAGGGAGCCAACACGAAGGGAGGGAGGGCAGGAATCGGCATCAGGAACCGCGTGCGACTCTTACGGTAGACAAATCAGCAGGAGTACAGGATACACAATAGACGGATGTGAAAAAGCAATGTTCCTTGCATCATCTAGAATAGCTTACCGACTTACCCTGGGAAACCTGTGTAACACAGGAATTAGCTTAATTCCCATCAACTGACATTTGAAAGTGATGCTGAAAAAATTCCTGCAACTATACTATCACAGACCATGATAAACTTGAAGGAACACTTGATTAAGGATGACTTTCCATCTCTTCCTTGCATTAAATGTATAGGAGGTAATATTTATCTGTGCTTCCAATAACCTAATTGCACTTCAGTGAGATTGTAGTGATTGCTGCAGTCTGAAAAGTACGGTGAGGGACTCTGTGAAGAAATGAATGTATCACAAAAAGCTTTAGACTTCAACCGTATCAACTACAAATGCTGATAAATTGAATAATTGGAGGGAGAAGGAAGAGAATTACTGTAGATCAGATGCTTTTACTGTGTATAGGTGTATCTTCTGTCCCCTCAAGCACAAGCAAAAAAGCAAGTTTGGGGAAGGATGCAGTGCAGAAAGGATAACTTAAAATATTGCAATTTTCAAATAGTTGCAATGAAATCCTGAAATGAGCAGACTGTTAAATTGTGTAACTGCTTGAGTACCTGTAGTAACTGAGGCCTCTCCTGAGAAGCCCCACACATTTGCTCAGCCGCAGCTGCAGTGCAGTGAAGCAGCTTTCCCTATATTTCCTCTTCTCAGGGAGTTTGGAGCAGGTCTGGCAGAATTAGGCCAACGAGCGTCAGATAATTGTCCAAGCCTTGAACGGCTTGCTGCACTGACAAAGGCAATGGGACAGCTGAAAAAGGCAGCACAAGCGGGCTGGGAAAAAGCAGGACACATTATTGAGCGTGGGCACTGCCATTCCCTTAGGGAGGAGACAGAAGGGAAAGGGGACGCGGGGTGGATTTACTGACCAGCACTACGGTAGCTTGTGGAAACACTTCTAGCTCTGGCAATGGATTTTGTATAACCCGTAGTCCTATGAATTCTCTTATTGAAAGGACTTGTACATCTCTTCAATCCTTTTGTACATCTCATAAAATGTTAATATCCTCACAAGGATATATTAAAACTACTAAACTTGAGGGAATTAATGCCTACTGATAAAACAGAAGGAATTAGTTGGAAGCTATTTTCATACTGGATCCACTGGGACAAAAATCTAATTCTAGGACATTCTGTGGAGGTGTCACACACTTTTGCAGCTATTACTGAAAAAAAAACAGTTTAGCAGCATTTCAGTAGGGCAAGCACAAGGAATCTCTGATCAAACTGGATGGCCCCAGTTTACCGAAAATCCCTGTAATATCTTCATGGGAGAGTCACAAACCAAATAGCCACACCAAGTCTCTAATGAAAGATATTTTCTTCTTTACTCCCTATTACCATCTAACAGACAGCATTTCTCCTAATCAGCTGCTGCTGTAGTTACTGTAAGTTTTAGAAATAAAGCAATGGAAAAAGGACGGTCACGAGATCAATGAAAAGAAGAGAATCAGTAGTGTAAAAAAACCCGCAAACCTTCCTGTAAGGTCAACCTTGTTAACAGGGATTAGGGAAAACAAATTCCATTAATTCTCTCCCCAATATACTTCTGTAGTGTTTTGTTTTAATCAGATTACTTTTCAATGTGTACACAGCAAGGATCTAAGGATCTTAAAAGAAAAAAAAAAGAGAGAAGACACTGGCCCATTGTAATGCCCTGCATAATACAGAGCTCTGTTTGAGTCTATAAATACTCTTGTCTCTATACTGTAGAATTTTGAGCTCATTAGGAGATACGAGCTGCATATGCTGCCCAAAGAAAACGTTTAGCATACTCAGGTAGCTGCTACTGTGTAACACTAGCCAAAATACCCAGTCAGGATTTAAGCAGCAGTGCCTAGCTGTGCATTCAACTTTGTATATATGTGTAAGGAAATGAGAGGTAGTGCTACAAATGGCTCAAAAGGTGCAACCACCTCTGCTGACTCTGAAGTGTATTAGCAACGATCATTTATCTCTTCTCTCAGAAAAGTACTATGTGTTCAATTTCCTTCTACGTGTTTAACTCCCGCTGGTCAAAAGTGTTTCTACATTTTGATTCAGTGAAAACACACAATTAAAAGTTCCTCTGGTAAGCAACTACAGTTCTCCTGGCTGAGTCATCCTTCATCACCTCCTTGCATGCTCCATCACCCTCAGGAAGATCAAATGAGCACAGCTGGATAGATACCAAAGACTTACACTTGCACGAACAGTACAAAATAACTAGTAACCTAGACTCAGCAGAAAGAGAAAAAAATCATTCCCTCTTTAGGATGTACATTTCCACATTTTTACACCACATCAGAACAAGTATCTTCCAATAATATACTATGAACTACAACAACAATCAAATGTGGTTTGTTTACTCATCTGTCTTATTCCTAGAGATGATGTTTGGGATTTAGCAGTTTTGTTAATAAAAGAGACATTGCTACAGGTTTCTTAAAGCACTGCTGAGATTGAAGATGTCTAGCTAGAAACAGCTCTCCATTTCAGTTCAATTCACCTTTAATTGTATAAGTTTAATCTGTCAGAGAAGTACAGTCTACATCCCAGACCTTTCCAAGGTCTTTCAGCTTTTCTGGGCCCAGGCCACTGAATACCTTCAAGACCACAGACTATATTAGAATTAACTGAGAAAGGAGGACAGGATTGATGTTACACAGTAGATAGTCAGCTAAAACTGACTGCTGAAGTCTATGTGTTAAACGCTTTGTCTCCATATGATTACACAGTGGCACAAACCAGGCCGTCTTCTGCAGTGGAAAATCATTTCCAACCCAAACAAAAATGCCTCTTCAGCCTCAGCAGGAGATTCACAAGTACTCCTAAGCACTCATTAGAAAAATCTAAATGAACAACTGATGCACAGTCTTGAACTGACAAGACACTTCACTGCTTTGAATAAGTGTTGACATTTGAACATATTTTCCATCCTACAAGAAAACTGCCTGCACAAGCAACAGTTTCAGTGCCCAGTATTTAGTAACTGGGCATCATATAAAACTCATGCAAGAGGCTCAAAGAGCAGGGAACAGAAAAAACAGGTCAATTTGTACATGTCACGCTAAGGGCATTCTGCTACTGCTAGGTTCAGACTGCTGCCCAAACATTTGTAGGTAAGGGCAAACTTCAAATTATCTAACCATTTGCTTCATCTCTCATGCATCATATTTGCCTTGGAACTCAGTAGCATATTTTGCTATTATGACAGACTACGTCCAGTCTGGATTAGTCTGCTTTATTAGAGAATGCACTGCATTGATGCAAAGGAGAAGCACCGTGTCTCACAGCTGGTACAGACTGTGACTGCTTTTCTCCTCAGTCCCGATTTCTTTGTTTAACTCCCTCATCAGTCTTCAGTCAGTTTCAGGCTTTGTTCCAAATTTGCAAATATTTTCATGAATCAAACTGTACTCAACACAGAAACCTGACATATGAATTCCTAAACTGTTGATAGAAGGAATTATTGGGGAACAAAAATTGCTCTTTTACTGTCTGTATCAGACAGCTAGTTTTGTTTTCTCCTCAAAATGCCAGTGGAAAAAAAAATGAAATTGAAAAGAAAGAATTTTATATTGGATTCTCTGCAGGAATTTATTCACATGCTCTAGCTATCCTGAGTGACCTGTTTCCAGATATTTAAACTACTTTTCAGAGACCAAGTACAGACGAAACAGGTTCAGAGTCCAGGGTTCACTTCAAGTGTAAGATTTTGGACATTTTTCCTTGATATTAAAGTTCTATTTCCTCTCTTAAACCTAAGTTTACTAAAAATAGCTGTACCCCAAAGTCAACTTTATGTCTCTCATTTTAACTATATATATTTTTGTAGGTTAGATGAAAGTCATTTTGCAGTTAGTTCATCAACAACCAAATAGCCTGGCACAACCAGAAATGTTTCTGTACCTGTAACATGAAAAGCTGTTCCAAAAAAAAAAAAAAAAAAAAGCAACTACACTTAAACCAATAAACTTGAGCAATTTAGTTTGCTTGGATCATTTGGACTCCAAAATGCTTACCTTGTTAATTCTATTCTGTTTTGCTTCAATTAAATAAAAAGGCCAAAAAGATATACTATATCAAAAAGATATACTACAAAAAGATATACTATATACTAGAAATTCAATATGGTGCACATATTTAATAGAAATAAAAAAAGACATAGACCCATGAACAAAGCAGGGACAAAATACTATTTACAATAGTATTGTTGAATATAGTCTACACAGCTGCATTTCTTAGATTACACTGCTATTCCTGGCTATGCCACATTTTGGAGCAATTAATTTTGACAAACACAGAAGTCATGGCTAGGAAAGAGCAACAACAGCTGTGTAACTACTTGAATGAAAAGGGTCCAATAATATATAACTCCCAATTTATCTAACAGCTAATATTTATAATAAGTGGGATGGCTTTGTTTTTGAAAGACTTAAAATCTTTTTATTGATTGCCCATTTCTGTTTATCCATTAACAGATTTCTAAAATATTTTTCTTAGGAGGAACACACGTTCTCTTGTTAACTTAGCTTCAGAGAACATTTCAGAGACCTAGGAACTAGTGCAGAAAGGCTAATCAGACAAGTCATGTTTACATATGACTGATAAGAACATCTTAGTTTAGTGAACAATATTGGCAAAAGTTCTATAAAAACAAACAATACCAAAATATACAGCCTTATTTTGCTTTCATTCTCCCTAAGTAAATAAAAGTTTCTTGACACTCCAATCCATTTCTTCCTCCCCTTAACTCTAAGTTGAACTCAGGACTGATGCAAAATTCTTCAAGATGCGTTTTCCCATTAATTGTTACATTAATTGACACTATATGATGAGTCTATCTGATTTCAGTTCCTATACATGATTTAGATGTGATCTAGTTTTCTATAAGTAATTCTAGTTTCTGTCATATCAGCACTGTGTCTCAGAATCCAATTCACTGAGCAGTATCATCATATCAGCCTTCTAAACTCTTCTTTTTTCTTCTCTTTTGAGATGAAAGAAGTTCCTATTGCACGTCACTCTTAAAACGCATCAGACCGGGTTCACTTTGAATTCAAGATTTTCAGAATATACTGACACTTTGTTGCGATCAACCTCACCAGAATCATCACTGTTACGGAGGAGAACACATAAAAAGATGGTTTGAGGCTTAGATATATAAAGTCAACCTGTAGGTTGGCCTGTTTAGCTTCTAAAAGTGAAAATACTATTTATGGACAGAAAGAACGGAAATCTACTTCTACTCTGCAAACATTACCGGTCAGCTTTTACTGCACAAACATGAAGTCCCCATCTTTCCACATACTCCTGCAGGAGGGCTCCTCTCAAGCTCCTCTAGAACCCCAAAGACCCCGAATATCTTCCCCACCACCCCCGCCTTACAGCCAGCCTGCCAAACACTCAAAAAATACTATCAAAACCCCCCATTTCAAATACAGTAATCCTTTTGAAAAATAAGCCCTGGCAATAGTTTAATACAAACAAGGGGCTTACACACGTTCTCCCATCTCTACCCGCTAGCTTCTTCTTGGGCAGAGAACGAATTTAACACTTGCTGCCTGTCGGTAAGTGCACAGCACATTAGTAGACATCTGAGATAACAGGCATAGCTAGACCTACGTGCTTGTAACATATTAGTAAGATCAACTTTCCTTCTGAGAACCTTTTTGGGCAAAACATTGCCAGAAATTACAGATTCACAAAGCATTTACAGAACATTTGCATTTCAGTAGTAAGCTTTTACCTCACTATTTTATTTCTGACAAATACAGTTCTTTCAAGGTGCTCTATTTCTCCAAGTCTGAGATGAAGAACAACTTCCCTAACAAAAACATTTGAGGCTACTTACCTTGTGGCTTTGGATTTGAAGCTGAATGTGGGGACTGTTTGACTGGCACACTTCCATTTATTCCCTGAGCCACTTCATTGTGTACATTCTGCTCAACTAGCCTGGTTGTGGCACTCGTTGTACAAGATCTAGACAATATTAAGGACTTTGGACAGATGCTGCTGCCTGGAAAACAAATACATACAAAAACTAAAGAGTTAGAAACAAAATTAAAAGTAAGGTAGAATGACTATGAAAATATTTATTAAGGGCTAACACTTCTCGACAGAGAAAACTAGAAAACTTGTCTTCACTTTAAGAGTGTCTCATCCTAAAAATACACTTTGCCTTTCACTGAAATGTATTGTGTTGTTTAAACCTTGAAGAGCTGGACTTAAAAAAAAAAGACTTCCATCATGACTAGCCTAAGCTCTTCTATAGAAAGATTAGAAAAAGTCTGTTAGAGATTGTATCTGAATTATCAATGTGCTTGTTCAATAGAAGAACTAGAGAAAAACCAGCATTTTTGTTCAACCATTCTATTTCTGTATTCAAAGTATTCACAAAATGCTATACATTCAAAAAGTTTATTTTATTACAAAGGTAGCATCCAAAAATTAGCTAGATGTATTGCAACTTTCTTGTAGGAAAGGGCTCCTATTGTATGTATTTAAAAAAGGAGCAAAGCACAAAGTCAGCTTACTCTTCTACTACATTTCTTCCTAGCAGAATGGATTTATTCTGATTAAGAGGATCAATATGCTGCTATTGGTAAGAAAACAGGAAGAAAATATAAAGCAAAACATATTCAAACAATGGAAACTGTAATAAAAGCACTTATTAGAATGTGATTACACAAGCCTAAACCATGCACTTTTGTTTTTAGCTATGAAAGCAATTGGTTCTGTAAACGCAATCAAAAACTTAAAATAATAGTATGAAGAACCTTGAAATCTCACTTAGGTCAATATTTATTCATCTTGGAATCTAAAAAGTCCATATTTTTGTGAGGAGGAGCAAGTCAAAGGAGGAAAACCCATTTATCTTTTATTGTAGCGTTGTCATAATTATTTTCATTTTTAACAAAATTATTAGGGTAGAGTTTAGACACTTCAATTTATTGTTATCATTTGCCAGCGTTTTACCTTTGCTTGTTTGTACTAGTAGAAATGCAAGCATGATTGGGGTTTTCACTGCACATTTCCAAAAAAAGCAAAACCAAGCCCCATTCAACCATTTCATAAAGTGATCCTCTGATATCTTCTGAACAACAACTGGTCTGCAGAGTCTGGACCCTCTGATCTAATCCATCTCCCTCCTCCATGGCAAAATCCATCATATCATATCACAGCATAGCATAACATAGATCATATCATGCCACTCTTACAACAGCAGTGGAAAGAGACACCACAGCTATTGCTCAACGCTGCTTAAAGATTCTTCAATTTTGTGGATTCCAACAATATTTTTTTCAAGTATTATGCTTTATTCCCCAGAAGCTTCTTTTTCCTTTTAAACACCGAAGTAGCCCTACACCAAGAAGCTGCCTCTGCAAACATGGCGACTTGCAGAGGTCCACGGAGGGAACAACCTACGCTACCAAAGCACCAGTACTGGGATCACAACACATGCAAGACACCCACGGCTGCAACGTGGCATCTTTTCCTCTTCCACTTCATTCTGTTGGCAAGAGATCTCGCAAGATCACAAAGGTGGCTGGTCCCATAATGATGCAGATAACCTAGCGAGGCCCGCCACATACAGAAGCTTCTCAGACATCTGTGAGTTCAGGCAGAAATTCTTTAGTTCTGTTTTCCACGGGTATCTCTCCATACACAAAAAGTTGTACTGTACTACAGCAGTGGGACCTCTGCCCCACGCATTCCTCAGTGCCTAATAAAGCCACCTTGAGTGCCATTTCTGTCTGTCCTATGGAGGTGGGAGTGCTGAAAGCTCTCAGACAGGCCAAGGTGATGGTACAGGGGTTTGTACCAGCAAGTCTTCCTTGTCTCCATCAAAGAGCTGACAGGCCGTATTTCCCTCTCCTACAAAATCCCTTACCATAGTGCAGCACTTTATACTCCAGTTGGGGAATCCGCAATTCAGAAACAAATTTAAGAAAGAGTAGCTCCTGCAGGATCAGTACAATGCACAAGTCAGGTGGGCAACTGCACATAACTTATAAACCTACATTCAGATCACTCATAACTTTGCAATGAGGGTGAAAGTGTGAAGCCTTGGAGCTTTCTGAACACTATTTAGCCTGCAGATTTGACAGCTAATACACTTCAAGATCTCCACTTCCCCAACTGCAGCTCACTAAGGGGCACTGCTGCTGTCAACTGTTCAGGCCAAGGCTGGAGATATCCATCAAAATAGTACCTTTATTTATTTCATAAATATCTTGTTGTTTATGAAACGGTACCTTTATTTATGAAAACAAGATACTGCTGGAGTCAGAATAGGAACATATTTTACACACACAACTTTATCAAGGCACTTCTCCTGTTTAACGTTATCACTCATGATCACTTTAAGCCAAAGCAGATGCAGAGCTCTGTGGTCTGCCACTCCTCCTCCCTCTTCACCACCACTGGCTCCAGCTCCTGCTTCTGGCTACTCCTTCCCCTGTACCAACACCAGCACTTGTTCAACCAAACAGTGAGATGAGCAGCAGAAATGATGCAGCTGAAAGCTGGACTATATTTTAGATCGGTTTGACCTCATGGCCACCCCAGAACTACTGCTGGCACAAGAGGACAGTCAGCAATACAGCTCAAGGGGACACAACATCTCCTCTCAGCAGCAGCCCTTACTTAGGTTGGCCTGAAGCAATCATTTCAACGCAACCCCAGTCCCTCAAGTAAATATTCAGACTTGGATCCTACTTGGTTTACACATGCACACACAGAGCCTTAATATTAAAGTCCAGCAAAACCAGGAACAGCTGAAAACTAACCTTTAATGTACAAACATTACGCAGCCTTAAGAATTTTGTTGCCAGCATTGTGTGCCCCCCACTAGATTAGCAAATATTAGTTGCATTCAGTGAGCAAAAGCCATTTTGTAAAGCTTGTCCCCTGTAATACAGAACCATAACACAAGCAACAAAAAACACTGATTTTCTGTATCACGATCTTTTGCAACTACTTAAGAAAATTAAAAGCTCTGAGAGGTGTCTGACCCAAGACATGCTCTGGCTTCACATGCTTAACAGCTCAGCATGTAGCAGGTGCAGGGAAACAGAAAGTCTTCAAATTCATTACTGTTGTACAAGCCATTACACAAATTATTCAACCTGTCTGGAAGTCATATTTGCTGGAGATGGGCACGCTGCAGATATTTAACCTGTATTTCAAACTAGTAATTCTGTTAATCATGTCATATCCTCCAGCCAGGTGTTTTGAAGAGTAATACAGACACATCAGGATGAACAGTTTTTTTCACATGTAAAGCTGGAATGGAAAAGGTAATGGAAATCTAGTCACACCATATTTCTATACAAAATCAAGTAGTCAAATTCTCTGGATAAAAAAAGCATCCTTTAACATCCCTGGCAATCTGAGCCCTGGTTTCTAGCCTGTGACAGATATTACCTTCCAGGTGACGTGGACAATAAAATTGTGGCAGAAATACAAGTCTGTGGTGAAAATTCCTGTATCTAGTGTATTGTATGCAAATACATTATGACAAAAGCCCTAAATAGATAATTTTCAACACATTCCAAAAATGCCAAATACTTGGTCTACAATCAGCAACATGCATTTCAGTAGGGCTGCTCAATTCTGTCCATTTAAGTAATCAGTAACACCATCTACCTTTTAGAAATAAACTTGTTGCCCTGTGAGCACAACTTAAAATGCCATTAGACATGCAAAGTCAGACATGCTGCAAAAACCTGCAGCTTTTACTGGGCTGAACCAGATTCCCATTGTGATTATTTCTGATCTGATTAAAGAAACACTTGTGTATTACTGCTATTCCTACACATTATGATAACTGAGAAATTTTACTTAAAGTCAGAAATGCAACGTGTGACAGACTACCAGTCAGTTACTGGGTTCAATAATACATGATTAATACCATCTCTTATAATTAGGAATGATTAAATACACTGCAGAGGAGAGAAAGGTGGGGAAAGATTTAAAAAAAATTAAAATGCGGGCAGGCAAGAATGTAAGCGAGAAAGAGTAGTTAATAGCTATCAGAAAAGAGAAATAAACACTCTAAATTTGGTAAACATTTAATTATTTTGCTTATCATCTGCAAGGAAATGAGAAGCTAGAATGCTTGCAAACATGCTTGCATCTGCAAGAACGTTTGAAGCTAGGCGATGCATTATCTACTTTTTCAGAGCATTCTAATTAGAAATAACTTGAAGCCATGAACATTTACACAAACATAATCAGCCAGCTTGAAATGCCAGTAACATGCAAAAAATGGCTTATTTATAATTCACAAAAGGTTAAACTAACATTTTTGTATTGGATAGGTCCTCCATCAGCAGTTCCATAAGTTTCAGGAAGACAATCTGAACACCATTAGGTCTTCTATCACACTTACTTTCAGTCCCACTTACAGCACACAGTGCATCTACACCGTTTCAGCACTGTCTAATTTGTACTGCCGCTGCGATCCCACTCTTGATCATGAAATGAAGTGAATGAAAGAAATGCAGGATTTCTGGATGTAACCAAAGTCTGTGGGAAAAGGGTTATTCTCTTGTGACTGCCAGGAGGCAAAAATTAAGTCTCAAATTTACTTCTCTTAAAATTATATAGCTGTATATACCTAGTGTGTTAAGACTCAAGAACACCCGCCATAATGGTTGTGGTCTTGATGTTCTACTGCTAGATCTTTTCATGCAAGGTCAGTGCAAAGCTCCACTCTTCCTACTCATCCCTGGACATACATGGAGTTTCAGCTAATAGCCTATCTACCAAGCATTGGTTTAGCCACACTAACCTAGCCATACAATTTCCTGAGCAGTTCAGAAGAGCGTTAAGTAGCAGTGACACTACAAGAAACTAATTCAGCCCGCCCACTTTCTCACCAAACACTGAAGGAGCTGTAGCAAGGCCAGGACAAGAGCGAGCAGCTTCCTGAGAACACACAGGAAGGCAAAAAGCAGCCTCTGACCTGGGCAGTTACAACAATAGATTTGCTGAGGCTTGAGCAGGAAATCT